GAGGCACAGTCAACAAAGCGGAACAAGTTATAAGGCCACAAGGATGCAGTCAGCACATTCTACAGTGTGAGAAGCAGACAAATTGCAGAGAAAAAGAAGAGAAAAGGAACTTACTGATTAAAGGAAACTTCAGAGATGTATCAGTCAGGTGCAATAGGCAGACCTTGTTTGGGTTCTGACATGCACAATCCTACTGTAAAAAAGAAAAGAATGTGAAACAGTTGGGGGAACTCCTATCAATAACTGGATATTTGATGATATTAAGGAGTGAGATTTTTTTTTTAGGTATGATAATAAAATATAAAAGTCCTTTTTAAAAAAAGAGTTATCTACTGAACCAATTAGAGATGAAAGTGAATAGTGTTTGAAGTTTGCTTCAAAACAATCCAGTGAGGAGGAAGGTTGGGTGGGTGAACAGTTGAAGAGAGGTGAGCCATAAGTTGATAATTTTTGAAGCTGAATGACTGGTGGATAACATCTATGACACTATTCTATTTGAGATATGTTTGAAATTTATAAGCATAAATGGGAAAGTTTTGATAGGACCTTCAAATTGCGTCTCCGATACGGAAAAAGTTTACATTCCCACCAACAATATATGAGCTCTCCCATTTCCATACTGGGTATTTGCATTCTTTTAAAATTGTGCCAATCTGATAAGCAAAGCGGCATTTTGTTGTTTTAATTTTAAGGTATCGTTTTAATTAGAGGTTTTGTTGCCATTTGCACCTCAAAGGGCCCTTCATCTTCTCCCATCTCCTGAAACAACCTGTCTGTTTCATGTTTTGCACAAAAGAAAAGTTGTACTCAGACAGCTCTGTGAACCCAGCATTACAGACACTGTCACCCCTGCCTCGCCTCTGTCTTTACTGCAGTTTCCTTTCAACTGGCACGATTTTTATTTCTGGCTGTAACACCTCAGTGATCATTGGTTTATTCTGTGACCTGGATAAATTCTGGATAGAAGGTTGGAGTGAAGATTTAACATAGATGATAGTGCCTTTTTTTTTTTTTTATCCTTAGCAAAAAGGTTCCTGCTTTCAGTTGTCTTTAGCGGGAGCGACATCCACATGAAGCCTTGTTCATAGATGCATTCCCCCGTCCGTAAGGAAGGCATGGAACTCCCAGACCTAGAAGCGCAATCTCTGCTTTGTTTCTGAGCAAGGACATGTGTGACTGCCCACACACTGTGAGGAAAATATGCTGCCCTCATAATTGGCCTCAGCAGGAACCCAGAGCATTCTGTTGTGTTTGCTGCTGTCCAGCGTCATTTCATAGTTCCCTCTCAGATAAATTGTGTCCTGCAATGCGTGATGCCATTTCAGAAATAATTACCGAGAGTGATGCTAAGTGGGAAGGAGAAAGTATACCACGACTTTAACAAATTCCTTTTCCTCTCCCATGTTTTATGGTGCGTGACAACATGCAGGGGCGTATACTATCTTTGTTACTATTCTTTCCCTCCAAGTGGAGTTGACACCCATGGCTCCCCAGCCTGCTGCCTGGCTGTTGCCTCAGGAGCAGGTGTGTTAGCTTGTTGCTCAGCCCACGAGGTGTGTGTACTATTTACCTCCTCCTCGAACAGAGCCCGCGCCGCAGGGGCCATTGTGAGGCAGCGGGAAAGCCAGGCCAAATCAGAGTGTGGATTTCATCTCTGCCTCTCAGGAGCTGGTGGTAAAATGATTTGGCCTCAAAGGAGAATAAATGTATGCCTGGCACTCAGTGAATGGCAGCTGAATTTGAATTATTAATTAAACAAATCTGTAATACCTGCCTCCTGCGTGTTAAGGTCCAGGCTGTCTGATATACACAGTTCTTACCTACAAAGTGATGACCAGCCGTGCTTTTCAACAGTAAGTCTCATGATTCTGCTGTATGTCCCACTGTGTGTATAGTATCAGTTCTCTTTCAGTGGCCCCCCACCTTTTTGGCACCAGGGACCTGTTTCCTAGAAGACAGTTTTTCTACAGACCCAGAAGGGGGATGGTTTCAGGATGATTCAAGCACATTCCATTTACTGTGCACTTTATTTCTCTTATTATTGCATCAGCTCCACCTCAGATCATCAGGCATTATTAGATCCTGGAGGCTGGGAATCCCTGCTCTAGATGCTGCTGAAGCCTTCCAGTCTTTTCCTTACCACAGCCTTTGAGGAGAGTTGCAGCCTGGGGATGAGGAGGTTGTCAGTCTGTTTTAATGTCAGCTTTTCAGCAGTGGCGAGAAGCCAGCAGTAACTCGCCTGGCCACAGTCTTTCTAGCAGCATCAGTTGGGAAAAAATAACATCGCAGTTTCACAGGAGTGACTCTCAATTGCCGATTTTATTCTTTCAGGTCAGCTCTGCAAAGAGATGAAGAATTTATGAGGAGTGGAGGTGGATGTATGCTTTGGCTTGCTCAGTGTGTGATAACATTCACCCCTAACGCTGGCATAGAGTTTAAGTGGCTCAAAGCTAAGGGTGATACCAGAGCCGCGCTCTGAGATAGCAAGCGGGAGCCAAGCAAGTGAGGACCCAGAGGGGTGGCAGATGGAGTTTCGTGGCCAGAAGTCCCTGCTCTTTTTTCCTTGTTGAGACCTCACCGCAATGGGCATTTTCTTGTTTCTATTGAAGTTGAAGCAGGAGCATGTCACAGAATCGTGTCTTCCTGTCGACATTTGTACAGGGCCCTGAGCTGCAGGTGGAATGTCACGGATGAGTCTGGGCTCCTGGTCTGAGCAAATGCACAGTTCAGACATGCAGGTGCTGTTTGAGGCAGCTGATCTTATCTGCCTTCTTCAGCCTGAGGGTTTCTCATGTTGGGCAGTGACCTTTAATTGCCAGAGCAGGTCAGATTCTGTAAACGCCCACAGTGCTGTTTCTTCATGGAGTTTAAGAAGTTCTTAGATGTAGATGCACAACTGAAAACATACTTTTCTGTGACGATCGGCGGAGTCCCTTTAGATGCCTAGAGGGATTGACATCCTTTCCAAAGGGCCAACCACCTCTCCGCAACCTGACCTCCCCTGGCCACCTGCCGCATGCCCAGCAGCCTGTTAGGGCTATAGAGGAAACACGTGCTATTGCTTCGGTCCTTAAAGGACTTATGATAATAATAATCTATTATTAATAGTAAATGCTTACTAAATGCTGGACACTACTACTGGCCTCATGCACACATTGTTCCATTTAATCCTCACAACAGCTTATGAGGTATGTATTACCATGTCCTTTTTACAGATAAAGAAACACAGGTTCAGAGAACTTTGTTCACCTGCTGAGTAGTGGAGCCAGGAGTTTAATCCAAATCTGTCTGACTCCAAAGCCTGTGGTCTCCATCCCTGCAATGCAGTTGGAGCAGCAAGCTGGACTCACGTGAAAAGGCACGCAAATGGGCAGTGGAGACCAAGCTGGTGGGGCAGCCAAGGTGTGAGATGTGAGAACCAAGATTCTGAAAGATCTTGTCTGGCTGGAAGAACAGAAGAGGTGGTAAAATGAAATTTCCTAGGGATAAATTGCCATTTAAATAAAAATCCTCTGTTTAAGTCCTGAGCAGGAGATAGGAGTTCCATATACTCTGTGAGGGGACAGCTAGGCCCAGGGGTCTTGGGGACCTGCAGAGTCCTGATGGGGCAGCGCTAGGAAGTGGCCGTCTCCAGTGAGTGCAGGTGCAGGCTGGTGGGGATCCACAGAGGGCTGAATGGACACAGCAAGACCCTGAGGGATCTGGACGATTCGTCTTATGAGAAATGAGTCCATGACCTAGGGGTTTTGGTCTTGAACTACTGGAGGAGCTGTCTTCACGTGGCGGAGGGGTGGTCTAACTTACTGGAGGGGTGGACTTACTTGGTCTAACTTGAAAGGAAATTCGGGGGGCTCTCGACCCCCGGTAACATTCCTGAGCTATTTCAGAACCATTTGGGCTGCCGGATGGGCTGGATGGTGTTGTCAGGTGGGCCTCTATGACTGCAGATATACAGGAGAGAGAGCAGAGATGGTTCCCGGAGAGGCGGAAGAGGACAGGGTTTAGGAGATTGCCTAAAGGGAAGTCCGAGCATTCTACGGGAGGAAAGATACAGACAAGGGAAGAAGCTTGAGTATGACTAATGGTGCTAACAGGTCAGGAGAAATACCCTTGCATAAGAGGGCCTGGATGGTGTATAACCCCAGGTGAGGACTCTCAACGCACCATTATTTTCTTCCAGCATATTTGGTAAAGTGGCATTAATCTAATCTGTGACATAAACCATGTCTTATTTGCAAAAGATAATTTGAGCATATTTCAGCATGATGAACCAAGTAGGCATCTCTTTCCTTCTTAACAAACCTTGACCTCTTTGGAGTGTGTGAAAGTGCACCCATACCCACTGAATTTTGCCGCCTGCATCTTGCACCATGTGTAAAGTTCTAAAGCCACATGGTTGCAAACCAGTCAGGGCTTTAGCTGCACTAAGGTGTGGCCACCTGCAGAGGCAGGAGGGCCCCCACCCAGATCCAAGATCAGATGTTGTGGCTGTTGGCACCACACATGCTCCAGGAGGGTGTGGAAAGTTTTGTTACTTTCATATTTGAAGTCTCCGGGCAGGCAGGGCAGGCCTCTCAAGCAAGTTTGGAAAGGCTGAGAGAGAGAGGTGGTGGGACTTGAAGGCCGGAGTCAGTATGAGGGTCCCCAGCCCTCTGGTGGGGGCTTGTGAGGTTTGAAACTCTTGCTGACATGAAAGGAGTCCAAATGTGGGACAGAAACAGCAAAAATGAAAACAACTTCCTCATTACTGCTCATAGACAGGCCTTTCTGCATGGTCTTGGAGGGAGCTGGTGAGAAGAGTGTGTGCGTGTGCGTTAGTTGCTCAGTCGTCTCCGACCTTCTGTGACCCCAGGGACTGTAGCCCCCCAGGCTCCTCTGTCTGTGGGGTTTCCCAGGCAAGAATACTGGAGTGCCTTCCAGCAAAACCTCGTGTTCTGTGTGTCCGGGTCCCCTCCGACCCCACGTGGGCTGTGCTGACGTCGTGATTAAACCTTGTCCAGGCCTCACTGCCCGTGCACAACCAGGTGTTACCCTCAATCGAGAGTGTGGATGGCTCGGACCCTCTGGCGACTCTGCAAAACCCCATGGCCAGACTGGAGGCCAAGGAGGAGGAGGACGAGGACGAGGACGAGGATTCTGAGGACGAGGAGGAGGAAGACGGTGAGGACACTGACCTGGACGACTGGGAACCTGACCCCCCTCGGCCCTTTGACCCGCACGACTTGTGTAAGTGCAGCTGCTTCTCGGGTGCAGGGTGGGCCCCTCTGCTAGGGCTCCCAGTGCAGAGTCTGCTCGCCTCCCCGAAGGTGCCCCTTCCCGTCATCCTCGGGCAGCCAGGGAGGGAGGTGCCGGCTGCTGCTAGAGCTCCGATCGCCCCCACGAGCGGCTGCCGGAGGAAGCCGGGCAGCCTGCTGGGGGTCACAGGGGCCGGGGCTGGGTCAGGACCAAGCCTCGGCCTCTGATCTCAGAGCTCCAGGCGCCAGGCCATGGTGGTGTCCAGTCCTGGCACATCCGGCCATTCCCTCTTTCACGTATTTGGTGCTTCACCTCTCTTCGTACCAACCTTAAAAAATGCCTACTGTAAAAAGACGCCTGTCACACCCCGGGCACTAGTGCTCTGCACTAGCTTCCTAACTCAAGCAATGCTCTCCATGGGCTTGTGAAGTTGGCAGCTTTGTAGAGGTCCTGCTCAGTTGTTGCAGGAGTCAGGATTCAAATGCAGGTGGTCCGGTTGCTGGTGCCCACGGTCAGCCGACACTACTGCCCGTCTGTCCTGCCTGCTTGGAGGGGCCTGCTTCCTTCTACCAAGCTGCTGCTGCTGCCTACCAATGTTCCACATAGATGGCAAAGTCCTTATCTCCTCTTTCGAGTTACAAGGCCATGCAGAGCTTTGCTGTCTCACTGTATCTCTCCCGGGATCCTCTGCGTGGTGATGGTGAAGCTGTTTGCCTGGGGTCCGTGTTCATCTCCATACTCAACAGAGAATTTCCTCGTTTTGCTTTGCTTTGAATTCTTAAGTTTTCAGGGCAACTCCTTAGTCAAATACACATGAAGTCACTTTAATCTTATAAATATGAACACAAGGTAGCTCTCCATTATTGGAGAGTTGTAGAAATTGAAAATACCTGTTTCCTAAGCCAGGCCATCCCACAGCCAGAGCTGGGTGAGATGTGACTGGTTGACTAGATGTGTTGAGAGTCAGGACTCTGCTGTCTGTGGGACGCAGTCTCTTTCCTCTGTTCTGCTGTTGTACACTTCGCAGCCTGGTGGTAAGCTCCAGATGGGGGACTCTGGGAAAGAGTGGGTGGATGTGGATACTTAGTGCAAACCCATCGCTCCCAGAATGAGCTGAACATACATATCAGGGCTGCCCTCGTTGTGTCATTGGGTGAATGAAGGATGGGATGCTAAATTCATTCATTTCAGCATTATCTTCACGCAGTATGCATGGGAATCTCAAATTCAACAGTACTGTTTCTATAACTCCCTTTGAGGAAACTGACAATACTGTCAGGTTTTCAAAAAAAACAGGTTTATTGACCTATAGTTTACATACTATAAAATTTACCTCATTTGTTTCATCAGATTTTGCAACATTTAAGCAACTAATAAGTATTTCTTTCCTCCTTCCAGACATGTTTTATTTGATTTGTAAACTTTTTTTTACTTTTTAAAAAATTGGAGCGTAGTTGCTTGACCATGCTGCATTTATTTTTGCTGTACTCAGCTACGTTGACTTATAAATTTAGTGCCACTGTTCAAATGGACATCCAGTAGAGAAATAAGTCACAGCCTGCTTATTATTTTTGGCAGGCCACAAGCTAATTCTGCCTGATTTTGGAAGAAAAGACCAGGATTCTCCCAGTCTCTGGAGAGTCATGTATTACAGTGGAATGGGTTGTGCAGTTGTAGGAGCTGATTGAATTTGGTCTTAAAAACTCAGAGATGGGGGTCCTCCAGGTTAGGACCCTTTCCCCCGAGCCCGTCACCTAGAGGCTTTCTTTCTCGTGCAGGGTGTGAGGAGTGTAACAACGCACACTCTTCCGTGTGCCCGAAGCACGGCCCCCTGCACCCGATCCCCAACCGGCCGGTGCTGACGCGGGCACGGGCCAGCCTCCCGCTGGTGCTCTACATTGACAGGTTCCTGGGCGGCGTGTTCTCCAAGAGGCGCATCCCCAAGCGCACCCAGTTTGGCCCCGTGGAGGGGCCACTGGTCAGGGAATCAGAGCTGAAGGGCTGTTACATCCACCTCAAGGTAATGTGCTTTGCCCCAGTCCCTCCTGTCCTGATGACCTGTAAGGGGCATGCACTTTCCCACTGAGCCTCTCAGTTCAGCCTCAGAGCAGTTGTTCACTGTGATTTTCTTTCTGTGCTTGACTGATATAAGTGTAGATGTTTTCTCTCTCACCAATAATACGGATGGTACAGTTTCAGACCACAGAGTGCTCAGTTGCTTAGTCCTGTCTGACTCTTTGCAACCCCGTGGACTGTAGCCTGCCAGGCTCCTCTGTCCATGAGATTTCCCAGACAAGAATACCAGAGTGGGTTGCCATTTCCTTCTCCAGGGGATCTTCCCGACCCAGGGATCAAACCCGCGTCTCCTGCGTTGGCAGCAGAGTCTTACTGCTGAGCCACCAGGAAAGCCCTCAGACCCTGAAACCTTATGTGAATAATTCTGAGCTCTTGTCATTCTCGGGCTGGACTAGTCTTCGAGGGCTTCTAGGACCAAACACCACAGACCAGGGGGCTTAAACAATGTATGTTTGTTTTGTCACACTGCAGGAGGCTGGAAGTCCAAGGCCAAGGTGCAGGCAGGGCTGGCTCCCTCCAAGGTCACGGTTCTTGGCTCGCAGGTGGCTGCCTTGGCACTGGGCGGTCCCTGCAGGTGGCTGCCTTGGCACTGGGCGGTCCCTGCAGGTGGCTGCCTTGGCACTGGGCGGTCCCTGCAGGTGGCTGCCTTGGCACTGGGCGGTTCCTATGTGCTCAGCACCTCTGGTGCTTCTCTTTGTCCTGATTGCCCCGTCCTGTAAGGACACCCGTCAGTTGAGACTGGGACCTGCTCTGATGGCTTCATCACCTCTTCCAAAGCTTTGCCTCCAAATGCAGTCCCAGTCTGAGCTACTAGGGGCTGGGACTTCAATGTATGAATTATGGGGGAAACCAGTTCAGCCTATAATAGAGGCTTGACAAATTTTTTTTTTTTAATATTAACTTTGACTGGAATACAAAGAGAATTATGTTGACTCATGTCATCTGTTGGGCTTCCCTGGTGGCTGAGTGGTAAAGAATCCTCCTGCCAATGCAGGAGACATAGGTTCCACCTCTGGGTTGGGCAGATCCCCTGGAGAAGGAAATGACAACCCACTCCAGTGTTTTTGCCTAGGACATCCCATGGACAGAGGAGGGCTACAGTTCATGGGGTGGCAAAGAATCATAAATAACTTAGTGACTAAACAACACCAGTATCATCTGTAAAGTGCTCAGAATGTTTTTAGGAAAACCTCTTTTTCAGTCTTTGAAACAGGTCTATCCTGTTGAATCTTCTGCTAAAGAATAGTTCACAGAATGTTCAAATATGCGTATACTGATGTCTGTTCCTCACTTTCTATGCTTTTGCTTTGATTGAAAGCCTCTGCTGTCTGCTTTTTGAGAGCCACTCTGGAGAACTGGGGAAGAACAGTGGGCGGAGAGAATATATGGGGTGTGTTTTTGAGAAATCAGCAGCTGTCATGGGGAGAATTTCTTGGTGAGAGCTCAAGACATCCAAGAAAGAATATCACTTTGTAGCGAGAATGATCTGTTACCAGGCTCCACGTTATAAATGAATGCAGTTGAAAGCCCAAAGGAAGCCACTTAAAATGAACCGGAGAGTATTTTGCCTCCACTTTCTGGCTTATCAATAGCAGTTTTTGATGTGTTAGTTAATGATGAAATGCCAACCAAAGCTGTACAGTCAGTGTGCTGACTTTTAGATTTTGCTAGGTAATCCTATGAGTGGGTCGTTAAAAAGCGTCTTTTCCCTTTTTCATTTGGGAAGACACAATTCTAGTATCTTTCCAGATACAAGGGGGAGAACCAGTATATCTGGTTAATTTAAAGAACAGTATTTTGCATATTATTACACAACTACCTATGATGTTAGAGGTTTTGTGTGTATGTGTCTTTTCACTTTCACTCTGGTTGCAGGTTTCTCTCGATAAAGGGGACAGAAAGGACAGGGATTTGCATGAAGACCTGTGGTTTGAGTTGTCGGATGAGACCCTCTGTAACTGGATGATGTTCGTACGTCCGGCCCAGAACCACCTGGAGCAGAACCTGGTAGCATATCAGTATGGCCACCACGTGTACTACACAACAATCAAGAACGTGGAGCCCAAGCAGGAGCTCAAGGTACGGCTCTGGGACAGTGGCCACTCTGCTGGGAATTGTGCTCGCTTCATGCTTTTCACACTTTTTGTCTTTCCCCTCGAAGTGGCAATCTTTAAAAAGAAGGTCCTTCTCTTGTAGTTCACTTATTTATGAGTGCTTGCTGTGTACTATACACTTCTAAATTTTATTTATTTATTTGGCTACACTGGGTCTTCTTTGCTGCGAGGGGGCTTTTTCTAGTTGCAGAACATGCGCTCTAGGGTTTACAGGCTTTGTTAGTTGTGATGTTTGGGCCTAGTTGCCCGGAGACATGTGAAATCTTCCCAGACCAGGGGTCAAACCCATGTCTGCTGCCTTGGCGGGCGGATTCTTAACCACTGGACACCAGGGAAGTCGCTGTACCCTTGTAATAATCCCACAAATAAAGCAGAATAAGAAGTGTATGACTTTGGGGTCTACCAAACGCCTTTATAAAGGTATTAGGCCCAGGGGGTGAGGAATTAGGAAGTAGTTATTTTGGGGGTGCAGACAGGTCTGTTGATTAAAGATGGAGTTACTTCACTTCATTTTGGGCTTTCCTGGTGCCTTAGTGGTAAAGAATCTGCCTGCCAATGCAGGAGACCTGGGTTTGATCCCTGGGTTGGGAAGCTCACCTGGAGAAGGACATGGCAACCCATTCCAGTATTCTTGCCTAGGAAATGCCATGGACAGAGCATGGTGGGCTACAGTCCATGGGTGGCAAAGAGCTGGACACGACTGAGCGCACACACACACACACACAAAACCTTTAGTGTTCAAGTCTGAGCAAATGGGTGGAAGGTGGGGTGTTTGTTGAGATGAGAAAGGTAGGTGAGGAGGGAAGTGTCTAGAAGTCAGTTCTGGGCCGGCTCCATCGGGCAGGTGGTAGAATGTAGATAGAAGGAAGGAGAGGGAGGGTCTGGGATGCATGTGGTAGCTTGAGAGTCATTGGCACAGAGTTGGCTGCAAACAGATGTGATCACCTTGGGGAGAAATGAGAAGGCCCTGGATGTGGACTCAGCTTCCAGAAGCAGCACTGTTTAGGAGTTGTAGAGGGGAGGGTGAGCCAGACAGGAAGCAGAAGCAACCTCTGCGGGGTGGGATGGAGGCAGAGACTCAGGAGGGCAGGGTGGCTCTGGTAACCCCAGCAGTGTGAGGGTGGAGCCACTGTGACCGCAGCTGTGTGGAAACCTGTGTTTAAACAGATAAAAAATCAGAAGAGGCTCTGTTTCATTAGATCAAGAGACGACTGATGTTATCTCTCGTGAAGTTGTTGTAATAACAAAAACAGTTTTTAAAAAAGGATTAAGAAAACACTTAAAATGGATAACCAACAAGGACCTACTGTATAGCACGTGGAAAAAAAAGACTCACACACCGTGTGTATCTTGCCGTATGAACTTCCTGACTGACCATCTGTGCCAGCGGGGTCACCGCACAGTGCGGCTTCTTTTGTTAGTTTGTTGGTTTGCTGTAGGAAACCTGGGTTGTTTTCTGTGAGCAGGAGGAGGAACTGAAGCCTCTAAAGTGCATCCTGTGATGTCCTTCGTCCCTGGTGACGTGCTTGGTTCTTGCAGGTGTGGTATGCTGCTTCCTATGCCGAATTTGTGAACCGGAAAATCCATGACATTTCTGAGGAAGAGCGGAAAGGTACTTGGATTTTTTTTTTTTTTAATTTCTTGTATTGATTGTAAATTGTATGTATTACTTACATCTTTGGTGGTGGTTTAGTCACTAAGTCATGTCTGACTCTTGCAACCTCATGGACTGTAGCCTGTCAGGCTCCTCTGTCCATGGAATTTCCCAGGCAAGAATATTGGAGTGGGTTGCCATTTCCTTCTTCAGGGGATCTTTCCGACCCTGGAATTGAACCCATATCTCCTGCATTGCAGGTGGATTCTTTACCTCTGAGCCACCAGGGAAGCCCTGACTTACATCTTATGCAGTCCCTAATTTTTCTCTCTCTGTATATTTAAGATACTCTAGTTGGGTTTATTTTTATAACTAAACATCCTTGTGTAATTCTAGGGTCAAATGACAATGACATATTTACATTTCTTTCATGGGCTCTAGAAAATAATATTTAATATAATGAAAAGTCCAAATATTAAATTAGAACCTAGATCAGAGGATGATTCTTATCTTGATGTAATCATCTCTGAACATAGCAAGGCAGGCGTCTTTGTTGTGAAAGTAAATGTCACTGAAGTACAGTGTATGTCCAGAAAGTACAAAGTCATAAATAACAGCCCGATCAATTTTCACAGCATGAGGATACCTGGGGACCCAGGTCAAGACACAGAGTGGGTCACAGCCCCGGAGTCCCCGGCACCTTCTAATTCCTCTTCACTCCCAAGTATAACTATCTCCCGACTTCAACACCACAGATACCATCTGCTTGTTACTGAACTTTGTTTACATGGAATTATGTGACACATATGCTTCTGGCATGTGAGAATCTTTTGTTTGTGAGATTTTCCCATACTTTAGTGTATTATTGTAATTTGTTCATTTTCTTTGCCATTTTGTTTTCTATTGTGTGAACTTGTTGTTCAGTCGCTAAGCTGTGTCCGATTCTTGGTGACCCCATGGACTGCAGCACACCAGGCTTCCCTGTCCTTTACCGTCTGCCAGAGTGCTCAAACTCATTTCCATTGAGTCGGTGATGCCATCCAACCATCTCATCCTCCCTCATCCCCTTCTCCTCCTACCTTCAACCTTTCCCAGCATCAGGGTCTTTTCCAATGAGTCAACTCTTTGCATCAGGTGGCCAAAGTATTGAATATACCACAAATAATTTATCTATTTTCAGCACAGAAGTTTGGGTTGAACTATGCAACTCTGACACTGACTAGTTAGAGTTAGGTCACATCACAGGTCAAGGGCAGAGTCCTCCACGAGACTCACTCTACTTCAGGCACCGTCCTCAAGTGAGGGGGATCCCATGTCCCCTGCACTTCTGAGCTACTAGACTAGTAGCATTTAGGGAGTTTCCACTCCCCTTTTAGGTCTAATAATTCCCTAGAACAGTGCACAGAGGTCAGAAAAGTGCTTGGCTTAGAATTGCCATTTTATCATAAAGCACACACGTCAGGACCAGCCAAATGAAGAGACACTTAGGGCAAAGTTTGGGAGGGTCCCAAACGAGAAGTGCCTGTGTCACAGCCCTGGAGGCCCAATGTGTCATCACTGGCGTGGGAGGCTCACCTGAGCTTCTGTGTCCAGAGCTCTCGGCGAGGCATCATCACAGCGGTGTGATCTGTTGGATCCTTGGCCCATGACTGGACCTCCTCTCCAGCACTGGTTCCCCCCGCCTCACTCAAAGCCACAGTCCTGTTTTCAGGTGGGTGGTTTTCCAGGCACAGCTGGCTCCATCTGGACCATCTCATTAGCATAAGCTCAGGTATGGTCACAGATCATCAGGAGTGACAAAGACACGCCATTTACTTGGGAAATTCCAAAAGCTGTGAGGCTATTTCCTAGGGGACAAAAGTCAGCCACAGTCTTTCTTGTTTGACAAAGTCATTTCCAGTGTCCAGTGTCTGGCTGATGTGAAGGTACCACTGTGAACTTTCTTACATGTCCTTTACTGAACATATGTGCGTATTTCTGTTGGGCGCACATTTAGGAGTGGAATTGCTGGGTCATAGGTTATGGGTATAATCAGCTTGAACCCATGCTTGTGAATCTTTTGCTAAAGTGATGATATTGAGCATTCATCTTCCATTTATTTGTGTGATACACTATACCCTCTGATTATGAAGCTTGAATCTGAATTACTGGGTTATCTGCATACACATTCCCATTGTAGCACACCTTGTCTTCCCAGTGGGGTCCTTAAGGTTGTGTGTGTGTTGGGGGTGGGAGACGGTAGCACATGGTTTTTGTTCTTTTGATGTCTTATGTGAATATATCAGAAAACCAGATCCCCAAAACTACTTTCTGTCAAACTTGAGCCTTTGCTTTTATAACAAAACAGCAGACATTGGGTATCTATGAGCACTGGGCTACGGTGAGGTGAGAACGGTGGGGGTGCCAGGCATTTGACTTTTATTGGTGCCGATTGGTCACCAGCCTCCATGGTCTCTCTCCTGTGGCTGCAGTTCTTCGAGAGCAAGAGAAGAATTGGCCCTGCTATGAATGCAACCGCCGATTTATAAGCTCTGAACAGCTGCAGCAGCATCTCAATTCTCACGATGAGAAACTGGATGTGTTCAGCAGGTATAATGAGGGGGAAGGTTTCACAAACTTAGTGTTTAAAGTTCCAGAGTCATTTCTGTATCATCTCTGAATGCATAAGGGTGTGTGTGTGTGTGTGTGTGTGTGTGCACATGGGTGAGTGTGTAGACAGATAACCAGTTAAGCTGCTGAAGGCCATTTCTTATGCATCATTTGCTTTCCTCTCCTGGTCCTCATCACAACTTGTGTCTTTTCCAGAATAATGCATACCTAGCAATAGGAAATCTTTCCACCTTAGTAAACATCTCCCTTAACAAGCATAATCAATACCCAGCATTAGGAGGTCTTTCCACCTTAGTAAACATCTCCCCTAACTAGAGATTCTGAAACAGGAATTCTTGAGATAGCATACACCTTTGAAAAAACCTGCACCTCTGATTTTCAAACTCTTCAAAGGTAAGATTCCTTCATTAAACTAAGTCCTGTGTTTAATTCCTATATTAAAAAAAGAACAAAGGATTAAATGAAGGAGAATTCCACAGGGTGAGGCGGGCAGCAGCTGGATCATGTAGGCCTGATGATAGTGATAGGAGATTTGAATTTCATTCTGTGTGTGATAAGAAGTTTTCAGAGGCTGCTGAGCAAGGGATATTATGATGTCAGTTATATTTCTAAACATCACTATGTGTGTGTGCTCAGTCCCTTCAGCGTGTCTGACTCTTCGTGACCCCATGGACTGTAGCCTGCCAGGCTCCTCTGTCCATGGGATTCTCCAGGCAAGAATACTGGAGTGGGTTGTCATTCCCTCCTCCAGGAGATCTTCCTGACCCAGGGGTCAAACCTGAGTCTCCTGCATTGGTGGGTGGCTTCTTTACTCCTAGCACCATCTGGGAAGCCCAAACATCACTGTGGATAAAAGTAAAGACAGCACTTAGGTTATATTGCAGTAAGAGGGAAGACAGGGAGTCTGGTTAGAAACTATTTCAACAGTTTGGATGAAAAACGAGAGTGGTTTGGATTAGGGTAGTTTCAGTGGGACAGACGTAGGCTTGCCAGCGTTTATAGAATTTGAGAAGAGAGAAGGTGGTGTGAAATGACCTTTAGGAACCTGGGAGAGTAAATACTCCAGGCAAGTGCAGTGTGATTGCCTGCGGCAGTAAGAGCTCACTGGGGGCTCTCGTGAGTCAAGGCCACGTCCTCACCCCGTGTCTCTCACTGGGAGGGTGTCTATGCAGGGAGGGCACGGAGTGGGTCTCAGCAAGCGCCTGCAATGCAGGGAGAGTGAGGAAGCAGCAGGGTGGGGGAAGAGCATGTGCACAGGAGCGAGTCCGGTGATGGGCTTTGGAGGTGATGAGTGGAAGAAGGGAGGGAAAACAGGAAGGGGCCACAAGACTGCTGACAGGCTACAGGACTGGAGATGGTGGTGAGGGTGCAGGATCCGGGAGTTCAGGTGCCCGAGGGGTGAACTGGAAAGTTAGGACATGGTGTTGGAGGGGACGAGGCATGGCGTCAGGATCCTGGGGTTCTGCAGCTACCGAGGACGGCAAGGGCAAGGTGTGACCTCGGGAGCAAATGGCTGAGGTGCATGGAGGGCACAGCGAGCGTTCTGTCCTGCACTTCCTCCAGGGCACCCCAAACACTCCAACGTGCCTCTATTATAACACCTTTTATACCCTCTTGCAAGTTTTGGTTTATACGCCTGCTGCCTCTGCTGGACTCCTGAGGGTAAGAACTGTTGGGATAACTTCCTGTCTTTTGGTGCTGAGCACCAGGCAGGGCACACCACAGATGAAATGTTCGTTAGCCAACTGCTAACAGAAATTTGAGACAATTAGGCAAATCTGAACTTTGACTAGATTTAATAAACATTGAGCAACTATCAGTTGCGATGACGGTATTGTGGAGATATGTATTTTATATATACATTTATATATCTTTATGTTTTAGAGATATGCATTTAAATATTTATGAATATGAATGAGATGAAATGATGTCTGGGATTTATTTCAAAATAGTCTAATGGGTATGTGTGTGGGACAAGTGGTGAGGATTCAGATAGAATAAAACTGGTCATGAGCTGATAAGTATTGAAATGAGGTAGTGAGAGTACACTAGGCTTGTATTTGCCATATTTGCCGAGGTTCAGAATTTCCCATAAAAAAAGGATCTTTTAAAAGTCCTTGGAAAAAAATCTATAGTTTTAATTAAATTGTTAAGTACATGAGTGGAAGAATAAAGCATAGTCTGATTGATTTTAAACACACCTTGCACACATATCTTCTAAAGGAGATTTTAGTGACATACTTTTTTGAATCCCTTTGATTAAGGAACTTTTGTATGTTAGAAACCTTTCAAAGGGGATAAAATTCATTTGGCATTTATTGGATGTGTTATTGAACCACTGAATTAGAAATTCGTTCTGGCCTCCCAGAAGATAATAGTAAAGCAAGAACATATCTTTGACTCTAGCCAGATTCCATGGAAGGAATATGAGGTGAGCAAGGGGAAAGACCCGAATCTTGTCTCTAGGATACACACCAGACTCAGTGTGTTTTGTCCTGTCTGCGTTGCTCACATAACTGTGGAGATGTGTTCGAGCTTTCAGAATGTCCAGTGGCAAAATGGTGTCAGCACTTTGAATTTTTAAAGCTCCCTTTATTCTGAATAATTTAAGATGTCTCTTTGAGCTATATAGACAGGGAAAGATGAGAAATTGAGATAACGTGTATTGGCACAATGATTGTCTACATTAGAAAAAAGAATCAGGAAAAGAAATAAAGTGAGTGGAAATCAAGATTTGGGGTTACTCTGGATCATTTAGGGAAATATTTGTTGTGGAGTATTATGTAACTGTGACTATTTATCACCCGCTTGTCCCCAGAGCAAGAGGCAGAGGAAGGGGCCGAGGTAAGAGGCGGTTTGGCCCTGGTCGAAGGCCAGGACGTCCTCCCAAATTTATCCGCTTGGAGATAACCAGCGAAAATGGGGAAAAGTGTGACGATGGCACACAGGTAAGGGGGGAGGGGAAAGCAGGAACTCTTCTTGGACGCCTGCTCAGAGAACTTAGAACTGTCACTGGACTGAAACACAAATGCCTTACAGAGGCTGACAGTCCTGCCTGTCAGCACTCCCTGTTAATTAAAGTCTGATCAAAGACTCAAAAGAACATATTTTTAAACGTTACTTACAACAGAAGCCCAACTTTGCAGCCCTAAAGATTTGAAATTGTCCAGAGACATTATGGGGGCCTCTGTTTAATTAGTTCAGGCAATTGAAATTATGATATTCCAGAAGAGTCCTGCCTTCTTTTTTCCTCATAAAGTGATCTGGAATATGTCATGGTTTTTATATCCTAATTCATTTTCTCAGGAGGAAAATAATCTTTTCTGAGCATTATGAGGCTAATCATTTAAAACATAAAGCAGCAGTTCTAAGTCCTTGCATGGACGTCTGTCTAGGCAAGGAAATAACTCCTGGTTCTTGTGATTTCAGGACCTGTTGCATTTTTCCACCAAGGAGCAGTTCGATGAGGCTGAAGCCGCGACTCCTAACGGGCTGGACCAATCAGAGCAGCCCACCCTCCCGCTCCCTCAGCTGCCCCCGGAAGCCCCATCTTCTCTGGAGCAGGAGCCGGACACGCACGAGCTGCACCTGCAGCCCCAGCATGAGGAGAGCGTGCTGCCCGCTCAGAGCACCCTGACGGCCGACGACATGCGCCGTGCCAAGCGCATCCGGGTAGGCGGGATGCCCGGTCCCCCCTTCCCCACCCCCTCCGCCCACCGCATGGGCGCCGACTCTCCTGCAGGCGGGCCGGCTCTGTAGGCGCCATGTTGTTCACCACCCGCTGCTCAAGCTTTTGTTTGTTTTGGAAGAAAGTGTGAACTGTTTCTCAGGGCCTCCGTGTCCCATGGCAGGTTGGCATGGCTGGTCCTAGATTCCATCAATTTAGCAGTGACACGGAAGCCTGGCTCTTGGCAGCCTCCAGACTAGCGTGGTTAGAGTAGGATAGCGCCCTGGATCCTAAAACTCACAGATTGGAAATGGAGAAATGAGTACAGTGAGCTGTAATAGTTATTTACATTGAAGCCAGGCTAATCTGTGCCTGATCAGAGCTCTCAAGTCAATTTGGGGTTTAATTTGGTTGTCAACAGTTTCCAGTGGGAGACTGGCAAATGCCATGTCTCGTCAATGCACAGGGACCTGAGTCCAAGCAGATCTGGCAGGTGCAGCCCAGACACGGGGACAGTGCGGAGCTAAGCTCCAGGTGTGGGGGTAGGGCGGTGTCTTCTCTCCTGTGTAACCCACATTTGACTTCAGACTGTGTGGCTGCAGGGCCTCCATCAGTGGCTGCTTGGCCAGGTGTATTTTGTCCATATTTAACAGCATTGAATGTGCATTTGGACCTGCAGGAGACGCAGGTGGAAAGCCGTGTGGTTTTGCGGGCTCAGTGCCTGTGTGGACAATTGACACTCAGAAAACAGTGACTTAAATCCATGTTTGTGGCAGCAATCTGTTTAAAGACGTTTCTTAGTCCTTTATGTGTGGATGAAAGAGACTTTTTGTGTATCTTCCCAAGCTTTGCAGTTTCCAGATGAACGCTCATTTCAGCTTATGTTTCTTTCAGTCTTATTTGCCTATAGGCTAGAAGGCACAGACAAAACTTGAACAATAGTCTTGTCTGAGTCTTTATGTAAAAATACATTTATACATTTGTTCTGAATGGCATCGCGGACGGGATTCTGAGCAGTCAGGCTGAATAGCCTTTATGAGGGTCCTGAAATGGAAGCCTATGAACCTTATAGCTCCGTGAATATTATTTCAAAAGCAAACATAAGCATACAGGAATACAGACCAGAAAGCAAAGGGCTATGAAGACCTTCTGTCCATCATGCTACACGATTCCCAGCCTGCTTTCCTCTCTCTCTTGTGCAGCTGCTGTCTTTTCGCTTTGGCCATTCTGATTTCTTACTAGGTCCAGAGACTTGCTTCCTAGATTTAATTTTTTGAAGGCAAAGATTAAAGCCCACACGTGTTGTGAGGCATGGGTGTGCAAGCCTAGTGCAGCCGTCGTTGTACGTGTGTTCTGGAATGAATTGGGTCCCTGGTTTTGGAACAAGTTTCCTTGTATCAAAGCAAAAACCACAGGCATGTGGCTTTTGGCAGTCAGTCTTAGGTGAGCTGGTTTTGTTTTTTTACCTTCTCACACGTTCTAAGAAGCAGGGCTATGTATTTTTTCATCTCTTCTATCCAGATTGGTAATGACCCACTGAAGGGAAGCCTTCCAACCCCATTGGTAATGTAACTATTTTTCTCTCCTCTAATGCTGCCTGCTCAGTTGGAGCTGCAGGTACGTCTGTTTCCTGTGTTTCACTCACATAACAGAATGCTATTTAAGTGTCTGCCTGACCTACTGTTCTTTGCAACCCGTACTTACTAAATCCTGGTGGAAACTACAGTTTGGTTGCTACAGTCAATGCAAATTAGTTAACGAATAATGCTGATTTATTTTCAAAGAATCAGTGAGTAAACTGTGGGCTGCAGTGTGCTCATACATGAAATGAAGGGTAGGACTAAGTGATCTCCAAGGTCCCTTCCAGCTCTGAGACAGCTGAGTGTTCTGAAATGCCTTCTGAAATGACACCAAGTTCTGACTGGATGCCCAGTATTGTCGCGGTGCATAGGAGAATTTTTCACTGGAGTCCTGTCTGCTGGGATCTTCCAGTCTAATTAGGGACACAATGCCAATGTAAGCTGGGTCACAGTTCAGTGTCACATTTAAAGGTGCGTGCATACATGCATGCTCAGTCATTCAGTCCTGTCCGACTCTTTGCAGCCCCATGGACTAGAGCCTGCCAGGTTCCTCTGTCCAGGGGATTTCCCAAGCAAGAATACTGAAGTTGGTTGCCATGCTCTCCTCCAGGGGATCTTCCTGACCCAGGGAAAGGTAGAGCCCATAATTACTAGAGAAACTTGGAAGAGTGAAAGATTTAAAGAAAGCTGGATTCAGGGAATAATTCATAGATGAAGTGAGAGTTAAACTGGTCCTTGAAAGACAGACAGGAGGAAGGGAGACTGTTTCAGAGGAGGGCAGCCGTAACTTCAAAGGCTGAGACCCAGGAATGTGCTTGGTGTGGTTGTGGGCACTGTGCACGTGGGTCTGACCTGAGCATGGGCGCCAGCCGGAGGAGAGTGGAGAGTGAGATACTGGGTAGGACTGGCCCAACAGAAAACCAGGCAGAAAATAGACCAGAAGAAAGTTGTTGTTCTTTTTTTTTTTAAAGGCAAACAAACATGATTGATTTCCTTTTAGTGTCAGGGTCAAAATAATATGAAAATTGGTCAATAATTTAGGTTCCTTTTGCTATTCATATCAGACTTTAGAAACATTTTATGGGTTTTGTCTGCACAGAATCTGTCATCTCAGGACTCATTTAAATGTGAATAGAATCCCTCATCACAGGTTTTAGCATCTCTACCATTTTGGCAACTTATGTTCCATCCAGCACAGAGTTGTTGGCCAGCAGCAACTCTGGGATTCATCTTTGCTGCCTCTGCCCTTTCTCATTATAGCTTCTAGAAAATATGTACCAATCACAGCTCTGCAGTGCAGGAGATGTGTAGAGATGGCCTCCAATTGGGGAGAGGGAGCGGGCAGTTTCAGCACTTCCACTGCCTTGTAATAAAGGGGCCCCCGCAGGATTATTTGATCACAGGTGCAGTCTGGTTCCTGTATGCAGACAGCGTCCAGGGCTACGTGGAAATCACAAAGATGGTCAAGACAAGGTTTGTCCACAGAGCTAAGAAAGTGGAGCCGCTGCTGGGTTTAGATCCAGTGTCTGAGGACACTCACACTAAACAGAGATGACAGGAGACTTATAAGCATAATGAACCCAAATAAAACCACGAGCCAGATTTGGCGCCCAAGGGGAAGTGGAACCGCTGAGGGACCAAGACCAGTCGCTGTGCACTCTCTGCCCTTGGAAACGTCGCTGAACCTGGGTAAAGGAAATGATGATTAGATTTCCTGAGCGCCCTGTGCCTTGAACCTCTGAACCTCATGATAGCATTTGTTCATTTGGAATATTTAAAGTCTGGAAAGTGGCCAGAATAGTGAGAGCTTTTATGTAAAAGAAGTATCTTTCCAGATAGAGTAGCGAGATTAGGCGACTGCTAAGCTGTATAATGAAGTGGAAGAGAGCTCTCTGGCTGATTTCAAAAAGGTTTTTTGTTTACAACCTCTTCAGATGCTGCAGAAAAGATCTGGGAATCATTCTTTTTGATTTTTCACATGAGATACATTTCATTAATTAACAAACTTTTATTGACACTTTCTATGAACTCAGCTTTTTAAAGAGATCTAGATTCAAAGGAGAATAAAATATAATGCAACCCCAGTCAGCTTGGGAAGATGACAGAATTGCTAAATATTTACTCAAGATAAATGAGTAGGTGAAATATCTCTCCATGCCTTGTTAGATAAGCCCTGAGAAAGATGTTTCCTGTTACATAGGAACTATGTTCAAAATTCTTTACAGTAGTAATAAAAAAAAAAATTGGCAATAATTATTTTGTTTCTCCCCTAAGAGATTATTTCACAATAAATTTAGTTTAGAAGTTGCTACTTATAAGTAATTTGAAGCTTAAGAGTTTCAACATTGTTCATTATACTATTTTCCATTGCACAAATAATGCTTTAAGATCTCCATTAATCCTTTAACTATTATTCTCTTATAGTTTCCTAAGCTATAGGTAAAAGTGAGAGTTAATCACTCAGTTGTATCCGCCTCTTTGAGAGTCCATGGACTGTAGCCTGCCAGGCTCTTCTGTCCATGGGATTTCCCAGGCAAGAATACTGGAGTGGGTAGCCATTCTTTTCTCCAGGGAATCTTCCCAACCCAGGGATCAAACCCGTGTCTCCTGCATTGCAGGCGAATTCTGCAGTATGAGCCGTAAGCATACCCATTCACAGATATATTTTTTGAGAAATTGTTTTCCTCCCTCATAGTTGTCTAGAGCTTTCCTCCCAGTGTTTTGAGGAATTTATGTAGTATAGTAGAACTGAAATATTGAATCTGTATTCTCTGTGTGAAAGATGAGTCTGTTGATTTGCTGTCAGTAGAGAGCAGAGTTGTTTTCCCAGTGGTGGTGATGAATTTGTACTAAGTATCCATATTCTCTCACTTGGATTCCTTATAACAATGCATGAATTCACAAGATAGCTAATCAGCATTAGACGTGCAATCTGTAACTGAGAAAAAAGAAAAAGAGCAGAATTGACTGGTCTGGACAGGGAACAAAGCAGTAAGCTTAACCCAGTTAGCGAGGAATTCTAACCAGTGGCACTGACTCGCTACACTGAGGAGCATTTCTTAAGTAGGACATAATTAAGGCACATATTCCCTTTAGGATGTGTGCTTACATATCTTATCTCAGCAGCAAACACATCCATGTAAATCTGTATCTTTGTTCTCTCTCAGTTCTTTTTCGTAAACTGATATTCAATTCATGTACTATAAAATTCACCCTTTCGTAGTGTTTTTAGAATACTCCCAAAGTGGTACAACCATCACCACTAGTCCTGGAACACTTTCATCATCCTCAGAAGAAATTCCATGTCCACTGCCTCCTTCCTCCAGCCCCTGCTACGCTTCAGTTCTTTTTATTATCTTTAGTTTTGCTAAATGTCTTAATCAAGCTTCAAATTCTTTGACTCAAGGACTTCAACAAGTAACATTTAGCTGACTTGCTCCCACCTCATCGTGCATGTGTCACTCACCCCAAGTCATTTCTTCCAAATCTTCGATTTTTATTCTACTTGACTCTGGGATTTCTTCTATTGTACAACTCTTATTTTTTGAACATGACTTAGATCCTTTCAGAAGAAAGCACACACGCGAAGGCATAAAACAAAACACAAAGTCTGTCTTTTCAAGATGAACTTCTTTGAAGATGGCTTCATTTTTAAGGTCTCTGCCAGAAAAAAAAATCTTCTTTCAACAGTGTATCCTAGTTTAATTTCTATGGAAAGTCTGTGATTGCTGGGATCGTCCTCTCTTCCTATAAATGTGTGAGCTGCTTGCACATTTGGCCTACTCACTAAGTAATCCCATTTATGTGTGTCTTTCAGAATGCAGCTCTGCAGCATCTGTTTATTCGGAAGTCTTTCCGGCCTTTTAAATGCTTGCAGTGTGGGAAGGCCTTCCGTGAGAAGGACAAACTGGACCAACACTTGCGCTTCCATGGGCGGGAGGGGAACTGCCCGTTGACCTGTGACCTCTGTAACAAGGGCTTCATCAGCAGTGCGTCCTTGGAGAGCCACATGAAGCTCCACTCGGACCAGAAGACTTACTCTTGCATTTTTTGCCCAGAATCCTTTGACCGCCTTGATTTGTTGAAAGATCACGTGGCCATTCATATCAATGATGGCTACTTCAGCTGCCCAACTTGTAAGAAACGGTTCCCAGATTTTATCCAGGTGAGTACCAACTGCTGAGATGCCTGAGTACTGCCGTTTTTAGGAAAGAAAAACGGCTGTTTTTGGAAAATTGAGATGGCCCATTATCTGTATCTTTCATCCCCCTTCTTGACAACAACTTCATAGTTGGAGAATGATGTCTCTTCAAACTGCTTTTGATAAGCAGAAGATGACTGCGACCCTTAATTGTTCAAATAAGACATTGGCATTTAAGCATTTAAGTTATATTACAGGAAATAAACACTCAGATCTGGTTATAATTTTTAAAAAAGTCTTTCTTCATCCCTGCCAATACTCACTACTTATAAAATATGTAGCACCTGTAGAAGACAGGCTCCCATTTCCTGCCTGGAAACATTTTCCCCCCATCACTGTGGCTTTCTGTCTTAGGCTACTAAGGTGGTGCATTTTGGAAGGAAATGAAAGAGTAAGTTGGTATATAACATACTGATTTTTTTGGGGAGGACCATATTGTACAGGATCGGGGATCTTAGCTCCCAATCCTGGATCAAACTTGTACTTTTGAAGTGTGGACTCCTAACCATTGGCCCACAAGGAAAGTGCCAGTATACTTTGGTTTTAAACACTGACCTCCTCCCCGTGTTTTATTCTGGAGCAAAATGGGGTGAGGATAAATTCCAGAATATTCATGATTTCATTTGGACTTCAAGTGATAATAGTGTTATATGCTAGTGAATGAATAAGTGAGTCTAAATATCTAATGAGTTTCCCTGCTGCGGATGATAAAGAATCCACCTGCAATGCGGGAGACCTGTGTTCAATAATAAAAATGCCCCCCTCTCTGCTTTTTAAATTACCAAAAGAAAACTGAGATTTAATCATAGTTCTGCTAGTATTGGAGAAGGAAATGGCAACCCACTCCAATATTCTTGCCTGGAAAATCGCATGGATGGAGGAACCTGGCAGGCTACAGTCCATGGGGTCGCAAAGAGTCGGACACAACTAAGCGACTTCGCTCACTAACTCACTCTGCTAGTATTGAGAGTCTTGGTAATTTTCTCACTTTACACAAACAATTAAGTAAGCTTCTGCTTAAAATTTTTCTAATTTTTATTTTTTAGCCTTGAATAGTTGCATTAGTGTAGAATTTAATGGCACAAGAGACTCCAAAAATAATAAATGACAAGTCTTATAGGAATGGTTTGATAGCTCAATACCTAGGCCCCATACATAACTCTTCTTCACTGGATATTTATGACTGAGAGACTTCAGAGGCCATATTCTTTTATTTAAGTTATCTGAAAGTACAGGGAATAAGTCTCAAGTAAGGGGAAAGGATGCTGGTGTTGTGTAGTCCTCATAAATGGGTAATGTGTTTTGTATCATTGAATTCATGTCTTTAATGGTAAAGAATCCACCTGCCAATGCAGGAGATGCAAGAGACTCCCCTGGAGGAGGAAATGGCAACCCATTCCAGTATTCCTGCCTGGGAAAATCCATGGACAGAGGAGCCTGGTGGGTTCCAAAGAGTCGGACACGTACAAGAGACTGAGCACACATGCACGCATGTCTTTAATTCTTCAGAAGCTGATTTTATGGAAGGGTGTAAACGGACCTATTACTGCAAGGGGCTAGATTGTTTGTATCCATATTGGAAGCAGGAAAAAGTGAGAAAGAATTATTTTCTGTCTTCTTGTGGTTAATTTTTGCCAAGATTCATTTAAATCCAAAGGAACTCTTAATCTTTTTTTTTTTTTTTTTTTTGAAAAAAAGAGGGAGAGAGACAAATGTGGCCCAGGCGATCAGGGCTTGGACTAAGCAAGCATTTTCTTCCTCCTCTCAAGTCCTAGGAGGTCGAGGCCAGTAAGGTTTTCTGGCCACTGTGGAAAGGATGCTCTCACTGAGGTTAGTTACCAGTCACACCCGATTGGCTCCCAGGCCAGGCTGATGAGAATCCAAGGCAATGCAGCTGGCCCCCTCTAGTGCTGGCGAGCTGCCTCCTGCCATTTTCCCTGACTTGCCGTGTCTTCCCTGCCAGGTGAAGAAGCACGTGCGCAGCTTCCACTCAGAGAAGATCTACCAGTGCACGGAGTGCGACAAGGCCTTCTGCCGCCCCGACAAGCTGCGTCTGCACATGCTCCGCCACTCGGATCGCAAGGACTTCCTCTGCTCCACGTGTGGGAAGCAGTTCAAGGTGCGCACCGGCGGGCCACTGAGACTGTCACGCCGAGAACAGGCCTGCTCAGTTTGGGGGTGCTCGCAGCAGGGACTTGAGCTGTCCTTTGTGTCTGTGCACGGCTTGAAAGTGATAGTCGCTCAGTCGTGTCCGACTCTTTGTGACCCCGTGGACTGCAGCCCAGCAGGCTCCTCTGTCCGTGGGATTTTCCAGGCAAGAGTACCAGAGTGGGTTGCCATTTCCTTCTCCAGGGGATCTTCCTGACCCAGGGATCTAACCCAGTAATAATGCATCTCCTACAAGAATCCAAGTGTATGATGAATACAACTAAACTGCTATCAAGGAATTCCTAAGGGGACAATATATTTACCCATCAAATCAAGAGATTTTTTTTCTTGAGCATTTATGAAGTGTAAGAGTCTGATAATTGAGCCCTAGGTCATCAGGACATCATCCAGTGGAAGTGGGAAGTGTATGGGATGTTGAGAGGGTTAGGCTCCTTTGGGGAATGTTAATGACTTCTGGGATTAAGATAAAAGATAAGAAGTATAATAACATGCCTGGAATTTGGAAGAAGGCAAAGGAAAACCGCACAGGAGACTCAGAGATAAGAGTTAAACAAATCATTGTGAAAATGGTAAAACAAGCTTCCTTGGGAAGCCAGATGTTTCTGCAAAGATGTCACTGAGAGACACTCTGCAGAATATGAGTGTAGGTCATCCTGTCATAGAAACTGGAAAAGAACCAGAAATGGATTCAGGAGGGGAAACTGCCTTGAAAAGGAGGCCTGTGTAGAATGTGGAGGTTGGTGGGGCTGCCTGGCCATGTACCTCTGAACTTAGCACAGTGGGCATTCAAGAAATGTTTGTTACATAAATGTGCTGAAAAATGAAGGAGGTTACAGAAACATCCTTGAGCTAAAATGTGGAAAGAACTGGTCTGGTGGAAAGGTTCAAAGTCTCTATAAGACCAACAACCGTGTAATTACATGTCTGAGAGCAGAGCCTCACTGGATCAGGGAGCTGGCATTTTTGGAGTTTGTTTTTATTCAGGATGGGCTCTGCCTAATTTTCTGTCTGTGGACTCATATCAACCCATATCCCTTGATCACATCATCAGATTAAAAGCTGTGACTTTGACCTAGATCGTGTACCCCATCCATAACGTAAGTAGTATAACTGCTTACACACTTGTAAATCCGTATGGTGAAAAACACTTAAATTCACTCGGGCTTTAGAGGAATGCCATGATGTGTGTGAGAACTTGTGGGAATTATTTAAAAAAAAAAAAAAAACGTGGGAATTGAGTACATACATGGCTTTGTAAATCCAGTATCACCTACCATTCATGATCAATTTATCTTGCAGTTCTTAATACCAAATTTATTCCATGTGCCCTTTGATTGCTTCTACATAAATGCTAAGTCTTTCTTCTCAGAAGTCAGTGTGTAGCTTTCAAACTGAATGGTTATTTTAAAGCCCAGCTCACTGCAATGCACTTAGTCCCTGGTGAATGGAATGACTCCCAGCCAGTGTTGCCGCATCCTTGTACCTTCTAGCAACTTGGATGCAGCCTGGTGGGTCCTGTTACTGCTAACTAGTATTGATTTTTTTTTAAAATCTCTTCAATTAAAATTTTTCTATCCCCACCCCCACCTGCTGCCTTCTCAAAAATTCTCTGCAAACAGCGGAAAGACAAACTCCGGGAGCACATGCAAAGGATGCACAATCCTGAGAGGGAGGCCAAGAAAGCTGACCGCAGCAGCCGCTCCAAGACGTTCAAGCCCCGCATCACGTCCACTGACTACGACAGCTTCACGTTCAAGTGCCGCCTCTGCATGATGGGCTTCCGGAGGCGGGGCATGCTGGTCAGTGTCCACTGCCCTACACCTAAACAGAGTTCTGCACTCAACCTGTCACCAGCTTTCCTCACTGGCTGGGCACGACAGGGAGACAGACAGTTCCCAGCTTGGGGCTCCTCTTCTCCCCAGGCTCCCTTGCCCCCCCTTGCCATGGTTCATTTCTGGTGTCTCTTGGCAGGGGTCTTTGTGATCACTTTTCCTCACTAGTTTTGCTTTGCTTTGCTGTGTGTTTTCTTTCCCTCTTCTCTTCTGTGTTCCTAAACTGGCCTTTCTGGTGGGGTCCTCTTCCCCAGCCACCCACTCTGATTGTCCCAGATATGACACAACAGTAGACGGGACTTTCCATCTAGGCAGGGCACGGGGACCAGCTTAGCAGAGACACCCGGAGAGCTAGTTCTCAATTCATTTTGCTCCGATGACAGTTTTTGCAACATGTATTTCTGCCAGAACCTGCCAGTAAAGTCGGAAACGGTTATTTAATTTTTTTTAACTTTTAACTTTTATATTTGGGTATAGTTGATTGGCAATGTTGTGATAGGTTCAGGTGGACAGCAAAGGGATTCAGCTATATACATATACATTTATCCATTCTCCCCCAAACTCCCCTCCCATCTAGGCTGCCACCTAACATTGAGCAGAGTTCCCTGTGCTCTACAACAGGTCCTTCTTGGTTATCCATTTTAAATATAGTGGTGTGTACACATCCATGCCAAACTCTCTGACTACCCCTTCCCCCCATTCTTCCCCTCTGGCAACTATAAATTCTTTCTCTAAGTCAGTGAGTCTGTTTCTATTTTGTAAATAAGTTCATTTGTGTCATTTCTTTATAGATTCTACATATGAGAGGTATCATACGATATTTCTGATATTTCTCTTTCGGAGACCATTACTTATAATACAGAGCCTTCGTTTGCATTCTATTCAACATCCTCAGTAAGGTTAGGGCCCTAAATAATGAGAGACAGGCTTCCATCAGTAGAATTCACTAAAGAAATTCCTGCTAGTGTACTTTTCCTTTTCTTTTAGTCAAAGGCTGTTAATGGAATCCACAGCAACCCAATTCACCTTCAGTAATTTGCTGAATTACCATTAACTCCTGTTAATGCTTTGGTCTCAGAGGGACCTGGCCGTGCTGGTTCTGGCCGAATGCCTTACGTTTTGGGACGTTGCTTCACAGAACTTCAACTTCCAGCAGTCGATATCGGAGGTGTTTGTTCAGTGCTTGTAATGGGATCTCGTTTTCTCATTTGCTTTTTTTTCCTTTTAGGTAAATCACTTATCAAAAAGGCACCCAGACATGAAGATAGAAGAGGTGCCAGAGTTAACTCTACCCATCATAAAGCCCAACCGTGACTACTTCTGTCAGTATTGTGATAAGGTAAAAGGAAACGGCCCACAGGAGGACGGACCTTTGTGGGAGCTCCTCTCGGGGCTGGCTTGTCTGCGTGTATAAATTCATACTGGGCTTCCCACATGGTTCAGCAGTAGAGTTCTCCTGCCATCGATCATGGGTTCAATCCCTGGGTTGGGAAGATCCCTGGAGAAGGGAATGGCAACCCACTCCAGTATTCTTGCCTGGAGAATCCCATGGACAGAGGAGCCTGGCGGGCTACAGTTTATGGGGTCGCATAGAGTCGGACATAACTGAGTGATGAGCACACACCCACATAAATACATTCTAGGATCTCACAGTTTCTCTTAACAGATAGGTTCTCTGTCTCAGCAGTTTTCCATTTAGACAAGAAAGGACTAGAAATGCACCCTCATTTTAAGTCAAATTTTTTTTCTTCAAAATTAGTTGACTTTGCTTTTCTGGTTGTTTCTTCTTTCTGTGATTTTTCTTTTTCTTTTTTTTGCTATAGAAGAAGAGGCTCATTGCCCAGAGTTTGGTTTGTGAATTGGTTTTAAATTCGTAAGCTCTAAAATGAGAGTGCGTATCATCCTACAGTACATTTTGTGTTTCTAGAAGATTGAGTAGGATGTGAAGAAGTTTTATGGTGTAATACTCTGCTTGTACTTGTATATTCTTGATTTTTAGTAGTTAGGAAGAAGATAGGAATAGAATATACGTTTATTGTTTCATTGTAATATTGTCCCCTTATCCAATGTCAGCTGTATAAGGTGTAAGCTATATATAAGTGGTGTCAACTTAAAAGCAAGAAACATTTTTAAAGCACAGATTCACCACTGTGGGTTCTAGTTGCTATTAGACTTGCTGTTTTGGAAGGTTCTTTGGCGTATGAGTCAACTACATACATCACATGAGAGCTTTCTCAGAAAGTCTGAAGGGTGAGCTGGCCTTAGAAGCAGTTCTTTCTATGACTATGTATCTACCTTTTAAACTTTAGATAAAGGTGTAGATATTTTTACTATTTCTATCTTAGATTCATAACTTCAAGAAGTTGCCTCACGTATCTATTATATTCTTGCCCTGTGTTCTGTGCTCAGTCGCTCAGTCGTGTCTGACTCTTTACAACCCATGGACTGTAGCCCACCTGGCTCCTCTGTCCATGGGATTCTCCAGGCAAGAATACTGGAATGGGTTGCCATTTCCTCCTCCAGGGGATCTTCCTGACCCCAGGATCGAACCCACATCTCCTCAATTTCCTGCATTCACAGGTGGATTCTTTTACCACTGAACCACCTGGGAAGTCCCATATTATGTTCTTATGTTATGGGAAGTCCCATATTATGTTCTTATGTTATTCTCATGTATGTTATATCCTCATTATCCTTCAATATGTCTGTTAATATATTTTATTTTGGGCTATATGAATGCTCTTTCTCGTTTCCTTGTAGTGAAATTGTTAGTTTACTTTAAGCAAGACAGCAGAACTATATACTGCTTTCACGGCAAAACTTTTGAATTTTCAGGTTTACAAAAGTGCCAGCAAGCGAAAAGCCCATATTCTGAAGAACCATCCTGGGGCCGAGCTTCCGCCAAGCATTCGGAAACTTCGCCCCGCGGGCCCCGGAGAGCCAGACCCCATGCTGAGCACCCACACCCAGCTCACGGGCACCATAGCCACCCCGCCCGTCTGCTGCCCTCACTGCTCCAAACAGTACAGCAGCAAGGTACGTGGACAGCTCGGGCCGCCTGGGAGCCGAGGTCCCGGTTTAGGGAAGCCTGACTTAAGGCAGCTTCTCGTCCGGGTGCTGTGATGGCTTCTTCTGCATTGGTGCGGGGGCTAGAGGAGCTGTTTTCTGTGATCAGGGACCACAGTACAGACAGGAAGAGAATACGGATGGACTGTCTCCAGAATTAGTGGCATCTGAGAGCCCGAGCACTTCCAATGTCCTTTTCCCTTGGCCCGAGGAGGGCCTCGGATTTGAATATTCTGTGCTCGTGGTTTATGAGCTCAGGCTTGCAGCAGCACTACCTAAGAACTTAAATGATGGTTCCTGAAAAGCGAGTCACTTTTGCTTGGGGGCTTATCACCGCTTGCTGCAGGTTTGGGTGGGATGAGGGCTTATGTGAGGTATCCTGACCTTGCCTGATAGCATGGCAGGGAGTGGGGGGCTGGGGCTGGAGGCGGGGGGAGTCACACACCTCTTTTTTCCCTTTCATACATGCCATTGTCCCACTTCAGGAAAGGCAAGTAGAGTCAGTGTTGCTCTGACTTTTTCTTTTTAAAGAAAAAGCATAACATGAAAGACTTTGGGAACCATTGGAGGATTTGCATTTGGTAAAGCTTGAAAATAACCAATTCTAGTAATTATTCTTGGTTTTTGCCATTTTTCAGACCAAGATGGTACAACACATTCGAAAGAAGCACCCAGAGTACGCCCAGCTCCCCAACACCATTCACACACCTCTGACCACAGCTGTGATCAGTGCAACGCCAGCTGTCCTGACGACCGACAGCGCCACTGGAGAGACCGTGGTGGTAAGTGTGAGCAGAAAGCACCTCTCCTGTCCTTCCTGCCTGTCACGGTTCCAGTGCCAAGGCCACGTGTCTCTTGGCCCTTAATTGGCTGGAGATGTAGCCCACCACCCTTCAGCGTCCTATGCGAGGCATGATGTTTATGCCTGGGTCTCCCAGTTGGTGCTTCCCAAAGCTGTCTGTGAAAGGAACAGCAGGAAGTCTTCAATGCTGCCTCTTCATCCCAAGACTCTCAGAACCTCTGGGGTAACTCCCCTGCCCGACACAGATAGACTGAGATAGAGAGGTAATCTTCCAGCACCTTCTTCTTTTTCTTTTTTTAATATTTATTTATCTATTTGGCTACATCAGATCCTAGTTGTGCCACACAGGATATTTTTCTAAATGTATTTACTTGTAATTGAAGGATAGTTGCTTTACATTGTTGTATTGGTTTCTGCCAGACACACACAGGATCTTTTAGCTGCAACATGTAAACTCTTAGGTGCAGCATGAGGAATCTGTTGTTCCCTGACTGGGGATCAAACCCAGGCCCCCTGCATTGGGAGTTCTGAGTCTTAGCCACCTGACCACCAAGGAAGTCCCCCAACATCTTCTTAACTGGATTTTTTTCTATCTGTGCTTAGGACTTATCTGTAGTCCCCTGATCCACCAGTAAGACAAACCAAAGAAAAAATTTTTTTTTGATTGAGCTTTGTGGTACGTGGGAATTTAGGTCTCCAACCAGGGATCGACCCCATGTCCCCTGCATGGGGAACCCAGAGTCTTAACACTGGACCAGGGACGTCCCAGGACAAACCAAATTTTGCAGAATTTCAGAGCACTGAAATAGCTACAACCAGCAGTGTTATTAGCAATGTGCTTCTTGTCATTTGTCTAGACGACAGACCTGCTAACCCAGGCAATGACAGAGCTGTCCCAGACCTTAACGACGGATTACCGAACACCACAAGGGGACTATCAGAGAATCCAGTACATTCCTGTGTCACAGTCCACGTCCGGCCTGCAGCAGCCTCAGCACATACAGCTCCAAGTGGTGCAGGTGGCTCCGGTACTGTCCTGCGTTTATTTCTCTTTACCTGCATGAATACCGTATTGCTATCAATCAGTAGGGCAGTGGGGGTCACCTAAAGCCCCGTATGCTCAGAGCTGGAGCTGGGCCCTACATCACTGTACCTGTCAGCTTGGAGTCGGAGGCATTTGTACAGACCCTGCTGTTGATGGCTCTAGACTCAACGGTGTAAAGGATTTCTGTCAATAGTGTCTAGAGATTTCCTCTGCTGCTGCTGCTAAGTCGCTTCAGTCGTGTCTGACTCTGTGCGACCCCATAGACGGCAGCCCACCAGGCTCCCCCGTCCCTGGGATTCTCCAGGCAAGAATACTGGAGTGGGTTGCCATGTCCTTCTCCAATGCATGAAAGTGAAAAATGAAAGTGAAGTCGCTTAGTTATGTCTGACTCCTAGCGACCCCATGGACTGCAGCCTACCAGGCTCCTCCGTCCATGGGAGTTTCCAGGCAAGAGTACTGGAGTGGGGTGCCATTGCCTTCTCCAAGAGATTTTCTCTAGATGCTAGAGAAAATGTGCAGCTAGCTAGCATACTAGCTGCAGCGTGTACCATTATCCTGCCCTACTGCAGGACGGTGTGAGCCTCTTCTGAACCCTTACCTTGGGCATCCAGGCTGACTACTTGTTGAGGAGCCTATTTGATCAGCTCCTACCTGGGCATTGAATGATGTCTATCAGTGGGAGCTTATAAGGAATAATTGTGAATTTTGAGTATCAGTACCTTATTAGTAGTGAGGTATAATTGTTCCTTCTGAAAGGTAATTAGTAGCTCATTCTTACTGATTCAGGAGCTAAAAGGAAAAAATCCTCCCCAAACTATTGTTTCACTTAATTATGCTGAGAAATTGTACTCAAGGCACACATGAACAAACATTTTGCTTTGAAATAAACTGGACTCTGAAGATTTAAAGCTAGTATGAAAGCAGGAAATTGGAAGTTGTCATTGACTGTTCTTTATTTTTTTTATAGGAGGGTTTTTTTTTAAATATATAGCAGTGTTACTAATTCTAGGCTTTGGAAGAATCTTTGAATATCTGAAGTTGTCTGTAAACTGTGATACATATGTACATTATTTTGAAAAAAGTATCTCTACTTTGGCCACATGTTCACAGATGTCTGTGCTACAAATAAGGTTAGGAACCACTGTTCTATTGATCAAGAGTGACAAGCCAAAAGCAACTTCTCTACTTTGATCTCTTTTAGCTGATAAAGGGTAGGCCATTACATTTAATTGAAATTTAAGGGGAAAAGACTTTTGATTCCTGAGAGCTTCTCATTCAGCTTCTTATTAGGAGCTATATTCCCTCGTTTCCCTTCCAGTATTAAATCACATTACTGTTTCATGGTTAGTAAGCAAAATTTTTTAAATTAATTTATTTTAATTGGGATATAATTATTGTACCATATTGTGGTGGTTTTTGCCATACATCGACATGAATCAGCCCTGGATGCACACGTGTCCCCCTATCCTGAATTCCCATCCTACCCCCCTCCCCACCCCATCCCTCTGGGTTGTCCCAGAGCACATGTCCCCCTTCATGCATCAAACTTGTACTGCTCATCTACTTTACATATGGTAATATACATGTTTCAATTCTATTCTCTCAAATCACCCCACCCTGACCTTCTCCCACATAGTCCAAAAGTCTGTTCTTTACATCTATGTCTCTTTTGCTGCCTTGCATATAGGATCGTTATTAGCCTCTTTCTAAATTCCATATATATGTGTTAATATACTGTATTAGTGTATCTCTTTCTGACTTACTTCACTCTGTATGATAGACTCCAGTTTCATCCACCTCATTAGAACTGACTCAAATGTGTACCTTTTTATAGTGAGTAGTTTTCCATCATGCATATGTCCCACAACTTCCTTATCCGTTTGTCTGCTGATGGACATCTAGGCTAGCAAGCATAATCTTTAAGGCTGTCTTTTCCCCTGATGTTTGCCAGCTTGGCTTCAGTGTGGGCTCTTGGGACTGAGCTCTGGCTCTGAAGTCCCATCTCTTCTGGGAGACGTGGTTTCAGCTGCACTTTCTCTCTGGAAGGCTTTCCCTGAACTGTACTCAGCATGGGTCTGGGTTTCTCCTCCCACAGGCCACTTCCCCACACCAGTCCCAGCAGTCCACGGTGGATGTCGCCCAGCTCCACGACCCTCAGACCTACACACAGCACGCCATCCAGGTGCAGCACATCCAGGTCACCGAGCCCCCTGCGCCCTCTGTGTCCACATCCCAGGTACGCTGGCCCCTGCTCCAGGGACTAGTCTCGGGATAACATGGCTTCAGGGACTCTGAAGACATACTAAGAGCGGAGAGACGTTATCTCAGACCTAGTCTCCTTGACCATGGGAGTGATATCTTTATTTGGGGGGCCTTTAAAAGTCATCTTTGCCTCCAGTGGCTCACTGGTAAAGAATCCGCTTGCCAGTGCAGGAGATCCAGGTTCCATCCCTGGGTCAGCAGGATCCTCTGAGTGACTGAGTGTGCCTGCCTTAGGGACGCACCATTGAGTGCTCAGCCTCCCCTGTCTGGATGGAGCCTGACCTCTGATCTCCTGGAGATCTCCTGTTCTCCGTGGCTGGATGACAGCTGGCAAGAGCAGGGTTGTTTCTGTAATTTGAGAGCAGTGACATTGTGAAGGATTACTGTGTTTGTGTGATAGAGACCTTCATTGAGAAAGCAGAACACTGGAATGGGTTGCCATTTCCTTCTCCAAAAGCAGAGCTACATCTGCTTGCAAAATATTTATTAAGTTCTTACTCTTTGCAGGAAACTTTTCTACATCTTGCCTTCAAGAGCTTAGAGTCTGGTAGGGATGTAACACATGCGCACAAACAAACAGGGCATGAAGGGAAGGCACCTGAACCATAAAGGATGCCCATAGACTCTCTCCTGACATTCACAGGGGTCAGGACAAGAGTGCACATGAAGGCCACATGTCATCGTATGAGTGGTTAAAGGTTTCACTCAAAGCCACCAACCATTAAATAAATATATTCTATCTTCCTGCTTGACATAGGTACTTTCATAATAATCACATTGGAAAATATACATAAAGTAACCATGGATATTAAATAAAGTGGATAGTGCTAATTAAAAATTAAATCCACAATGCAGTGGGATAATATTTATAGACTTGTGCAAAATTAGCTGTTATACCAAAATAGTGTGCACTGGAAAACAGTAAAAATGAAATTAAAAAAACAAAAAAATTAAATGTGTTTTTCTGCCAAACACATGGCTGGCACTGGCAGTGGCCAGGTAGAGGTGGGAGGAAGTAGGGAAAAGGATTGTTGTCATTGACATTTAGTTGCTAAGTTGTGTCCGCTCTTCGGGACCCCATGGACTGTAGCCCATCAGGCTCTTCGGTCCATGGGATTCTCCCATAGTGGGTTGCCATGCCCTCTCCCAGGGGATCTACCCAACCCAGGGATCGAGCCCACGTCCTGCCTTGGTAGGCAGATTCTTTACCACTGAGCCACCAGGGAAGCCCTTTTTTGTGGTCTCCAACTGCTTCCTCTTTTGTATCCCTCTTTTCCTGGCTCCAACTGCTATGGAAATCCCTAGGATAAACATGCACTTTCTCTGCCCTCCTATTTATTTTTTTTTTGGTGCCGGGTGGAGGGGGGGTTCTGCTCCTTGCTGTCTGATTGCCTCTCCCCTCCTTCTAGTGAAAGGTTTCTAGTGACTTGTCCCAGCCCAAGACAGGCAGCCTCTATCCACAAGGGGCCATGAGTTTCTCAGGCCCACTAACATCGCACTTCTGAGTTTTTCAAAGGAGCTGGAGGCTGGAGGGCCAGGACGGGCTCCTCAGAGTCCCTTGTCAGGATGAGGCGGCTGTTCTATCTTCCTTTGGGAAGCAGGGGCTGCCTGCTGCCCCCTTCTCCTCACCCAGGCTCCATCTTGCACTCACGGGGCCTCGGCCGCCATGTCTCAGCTCCATCCACACCCCTGCAGTTGGCAATCCAGGCCTCCCCATTGGTCTCAGGTGCCTGAATACAGTTAGAGGAGCCCTGTGCGGGAGACAGGACCCCTGTGGGAGGCCACGCTCAGAGGAGGGACCTGTGTGGGTCCTGGAAGTGGGTTCAGGGCCATTTCCAAGGTCCAGGAGGCCTCACCTGAGAAGGGCCGGCCAACATCCCTGCAGGGTGCCTCTTGCCCACATCTGAGGACGACGTGGATGTGTCATTCGGTTATGGGAGCTCAGTGGAGGGAAAGATGGTGCTTAGCAGGAAATCAAAGAAAATCATGTAGAAGTGGTGTTTGAGTTAGGTCTTGGAGGAGGGTGTGATTTTGACATGGTAACTGGGGGAGGCTATATGATCTGAATATGCTCTCATTATGAGAAAGACACGGGGGGTTGAGTGAGACAGACACAGACGTGGCAAATTGTGGTGTGTCTGTAAATTGTGATGTGGTGTGTTAGTGACAGGAAATCGTGCTTGGAAACAAGGCCAGGAAGGTGTTTTGGAACTGAAGGATGGACAGCTTGAGTGGCAGACAGTGGTGGTGGCAGGGGTGGGGGGGTGTTGTATATCCTGTAGACAGAATGGGTCCCTGTGTTTATCTCCACTAACTGGGGGGTATCTAGTACACGGAAGTGGAGATTCCAACTTCTGGGTTCAACTTCAGTTTGTGTTAAATTACAGGTTAGCTTTGTGACACAGCAAAGTCATTGAGCTTTTTAGGTTTTTTTTTTTTTAAAGCTATGCAATGAAGATAATTATACTTCCATTCATTTACTTTTCTAACAATTAAGTCTTTGGGTACCCTTGTAGATAATCATCCTTTGGAAAGTAATTAGGATTTCATAGTTATGATTGCTTTTCATTAATTCTGTTCTTATTTAGAATAGGTCTAATTTTAGGGACTTCCCTGGTGGTCCAGTGGTTAAGACTCTGCCCTTCCATTGCAGGAGGCATGAGTTCAATCCCAGGTCGGGGAACTAAGATTCTGCATGCAATATGGTGCAGTCCAGAATAAAATTTACTATTTTAACAGTTCTGCATTCAGCGTTACAGTTCCCATGAGCATGGCTTATTTTCTTCAGCAACTGGTTCATGCATCCCACTCTCTTTCTCTCCAGGTGGCTGGGCAGCCGCTGAGTCCCTCCCCACAGCAGTCTCAGCAGGGACTCAGCCCCTCGCATGTCGCAGGTAGCTCCTCACAGGGCCAGGCCCTCCAGCAGCCTTCCCAGGGCTCCACGGTCCAGCACACGTATCTCCCCAACACCTGGAATTCCTTCCGTGGCTACCGTAAGTAAGGCTGGCACTCCGGGGTGCAGGTGGGGAACCTGCAGCTACAGAGCGGAATTTCATCGGCTTTATCATCGATTTTCTAGATTAAAGGTTCATTAGCCATTTTCTTTCTTTCTTTTTTTTTTTAATGCGTAATTCACTTTATTATTTTTTTTTCCCCATCATTAGCCATTTTCTACACTCTGCGGAGCTTGCACCTCGATGCGTTTCACGATTCAGGCAGCGTCTGATGTCAGGGCCACCCTGAAATGACATTTTTCTGAGAAGTCAGGAATATTGCTGGAGCAAGTGTAGGCAGGCGGTTTAAGTAGTACAGTAGCTGCATTTAGGATTTGAGGTCATGATTCGTCTCTTCTAGGTGTGTTTATAGAATGTGTATATATCAATCACTGTGCGAGACCCTGTGTGTACAAAAGATGAATATTGACTTTCATACATGTAACACCACACAATAATCATGCTAACCAAGTTTCATTAAGCTCTTACTGTGTGCCAGGAAGGATTCTAAGCTGAATCTATATCACATCTAACATTCATAGCAGCCTCCTAGATAAGTTATCAGTACTTGCATTTTATAGATAAGGCAGTTTGGACACAGAGTAACCCATCCAAGGAACATAGCTACTAAACAGAGGTCTAGGACCCAGGCAGCTTGGGTGCAGAGAGTTTACACTCTAAACCAGCACACGGTGCTGCTCCTCCTCACCAGATGGTCTTGGGCTCAAAGAAACTGTCATCTCATTGTTATTTAGTCACTCAGTCGTGTCCGACTCTTTGCAACCCCATGGACTGCAGCATGTCAGGTTTCCCTGTCCATCACCAACTCCCGGAATTTGCTCAAACCCATGTCCATTGAATCGGTGATGCCATTCAACCATCTCATCCTCTGTCGTCCCCTTCTCTTCCTACCCTCAACCTTTCCCAGCATCAGGGTCTTTTCCAGTGAGTCGGCTCTTCGCATCAGGTGGAGACAGATATATGAGTAGCTGATTTCAAAACCCTGAGGTTAGTGTTACCAGAACCAGTTGGGCTGGCTGCCAAAGGTCAGAACAAGTAGAAATCTTGGTGGGGACAACAGCTTTGGGTGTCAGCTGAAAAGTATGAGACCTTTATCACTGAGGACATGGAAGAAACAGGAATAGTAACAGTTACGAGCTCCATAGCAGGAATTAGGAGAACAGGGGCTGTGTTGGTCTCTGTCTTACTACTGATTTTGTTTTTGGGCCCATCTCTGCTGTGATTGATCTTAGGCTGTGTTATGTAGATTTGGTGTGGAGACAGGCTCAAATGCTACTGTTTCTTTACAATCTATTCTCTTAAATACTGGTGGTCACAATGAGAGCTGAGCCTAGTGTGTGTTAGGGAAGTACTCTTCCTCATGATGAACCCCAGTAATCCTGGTAAATAGACTGACATTTACACTCAGTTTCGTTCCCGTGAGAAGAATGTGGAATGATGCCGACAGTCATGGTAGTCATAGTAATAACTAGCATTCTAACCTGGTGAAATGATCTGAAATTTCTTATTTGGAAAAAAAGTTTAAAATATACAAAAATAGGGAATTCCCTGGCAGTCCAGTTGTTTGGACTCAGTGCTTTCACTGTGAAGGGTGTGGGTTTGATCCCTGGTTGGGGAACTAAGATCACATAAAGGTGTGCAGTGTGGGGGGAAAACCCCCCAAAACCATATATATAAACACAAAAATATGCACACACAAATAGAACAGTAATGCACTCCCCTGTACCAATTATCCAGCTTCAACACTTACCACCTCACGGGCAGTCTTGTTTGATATGTGCCCACTGTCATTCTCTCCCTGTCCTCCAACTATATAATATAATCCATATCATTTCATCCATAAATATGTTAGTATCTATCTCTAAAATCAATCCAGTGAAAACAAAAAGCACAACTCCAGTGTCATTATCACACCTAAAAGTAACTGTTTAATACTGTTAAATATCCGGGGTTCATATTTCTGTGACTGTCTCATAAATGTTTTTTTTAACAGTTGGTTTTTCAAATTGGGTTCCAAATAAGGGCCATACATTGCCATTGATCATGTCTATTGAGTTTTGTTTATATATGTGTTCTCTTTCTTTCTCCTAAGTTGCAGTTAACATGTTGAAGAAACGGGCCACTTGTGTTCCCTACCTTCCGAATTTTGCTGTTGACATCCCTGTATTGTCATTTAAGATGCTTTCCTCTGTCTCTTTTATTTCCTATAGATAAGCAGTTAAATCTAGAGGCTTGATCAGATCAGGTTCTGTTTTTTGCCCCCCAAACATTCCATATCTGTTGATATATACCTCCATCAGGAGGCAGATGACGCTTGTCTGTTTCCTTTACCCCGCCATTTCATTAGGCTCTGCAGAGTTGTGCTGTTCTGATGCTATCACACTCTTCTTCTTTTTAAATAAACATTTATGTACTTGGCTGCACCGGGTCTTAGCTGCAGCACTTGGGATCTTTTAATTGCATCATATGGGACCTTGTCCCCTGACCAGGGATCGAACCCGGGCCCCCTGAATTGGGGGAGCAGAGTCTTAGCCACTGCACCACTAGGGAAGTCCCTTGATTCTATCATCCTTTATACACTTACTGCTGGGAAACTTTCATAATAAAAAGTTTTATATTAACTGTCAGGTTATTGTGGGGTATGATTTGCACAGGAATGGCAATAAATGCTTTAAATACTTGGCTCATCTCCTTGATTTACCAGTTTTCAAAATAATGAATTGTCTCTTTGTTTTATCTAATCACATCAACATAAGACTCTGGGAGCAAGCAAACCCATGGAAAATGACTCAGTAGGAAATGCGGTCACTGGTGAGATATTTGTTTCTACCACTTGTATTGAAATGTGAGACCACCGAACTGTGGTTCTTTCCTGTTTTTCAGCATCGGAGATTCAAATGATGACACTTCCCCCAGGTCAGTTTGTGATTACAGACAGTGGTGTGGCAACTCCAGTCACCACTGGCCAGGTGAAGGCGGTCACTCCGGTAAGCTGTGCTGCGTGGAGGGTTTTCCTGTTTCCCATGCTGCACCGGCCCCGCCCTCCTCCCAAACTCTTCATATCTGAGTTAGAAGTATATCTTCTGTTTTCCTATAATATCTTGTGGTACTGTATTATAGCACAGCTTATTTCAATTATTGGTTCACCACCTTTTTCTACTAGGCAATCAATTCCTCAAAAGCTGGGTCTTAGTCTTTATCCTTAATGTCCTGCACAGGAGGCTGGGCTATAGCAAATGCTCAAGAAAGATGTATTCAATTAATAACTACAGTGAACCTTCTGGATCCATATATGTATTTGTTGTGTTTTTGTTTAGTCACTAAGTCATGCGTGACTCTTTTGTGACCCCGTGGATTGTAGCCTGCTTGGCTCCTCTGTCCATGGGATTCTCCAGGCAAGAATACTGGAGTAGTTGCCATTTCCTTCTCCAGGGGATCTTCCTGACGCAGGATGGAACCTGCGTCTCCTGCATTGGCAGGCAGATTCTTTTACCACTGAGCCACCAGGGAAGCCCATACATATAGATACATGTAGATAATTGATCACCTTTTTATGTGTTTCTTAGACAGTACATGAGTCTTCATGATTGTTGATCCTCCAGTAGGGAGAGAATAATATAATGAATGTGTCATGAAATTCTTTTTTTTTTTTGGCCATGCTGTGCAGCTTGTGGGTTCCTAATTCCCTGACCAGGAATCCAGACCCTCAGTTGTGAGAGCAGAGTCCTTCTGACTGGACTGCCAGGGAATTCCCTGCCATAAATTATTTTGTTGTATTGCATCTGCTACTCTTTTTATCCTCACTGGGTTCTTCTGGCCTGCCTCTGGAAGACAGAGTTTGTAAATTTAAATTAAGAAAGATATTCTTAACTGCCTGGGATATTGGGATGTGCCCAGGGGAAGACTGATTATTGCCCAAGAGGTCTCAATGTGTAACAGGGTAGTTTAGTGGCCTCAGAAACCTGGCTTTTTTTTTTTTTTTTCCCAAATCACACCAAGAGCTCATTCATTTCTCAGCACACGAATTCATATTAACTAGACTGAGAAGAGTTGTATAAATCTGGAGTAACACTTTTGTCATGGGAACAGTAACTAATGTAAAATGGAATGGTCTCCTTGGCATAGTGAGTGAAGTTTTTGCTCTTTTTTGTGAGTCCCACAAGGACTTACTGACTCTTTTTAGGCCCTGCCACAGTATACATGGGGCTTCCCTGGTGGCTCAGTGGTTAAGAATCCGCCTGCCAATGCAGAAGACTCGAGTTCAATCCCTGGGTCGGGAAAGATCCCCTGGAGAAGGAAATGGCAACCCACTCTAGTATTCTTGCCTGGGAAATCCCATGGACAGAGGAGCCTGGTGGGCTACAGTCCACGGCATTGCAAAGAGTCAGACATGACTGAGTGACTAAACAGTTTTGGTCATAGATTATCTGCAGCCCACCTATGAACCAGTTAGGTGTCCATGGACCCTTGGTTGAGAACCAGCCCCCTCCAGCTAGAGAAAGACTCATTTGGGAAACCAAATGCTGATCAGAGAGTTGCTTTGATGAGCATGGACTCAGAACATATGCCCTAGATAAATCAAATTCATATTTGGCTGTGGCTTTCTCTCTGGACAGTCCTTGGAAAGGCTGCTACCAGAGTTTTCCTCCGTGACTTTTTTCTCTCTCAGTCTATATAGCTGATCAGTCTTCCTTCTGACAGACACATCTTTTCCTTAAAAATGTTAAGGTAGCTGACATGGAGATGTTTTTCATGATCAGAGGGAAAAATGAGGAAAAATTAAGACAGTGTGTGTCTTCATAAAGTCAAATTTATTCAACGCAAAGGACTTTATTCTAAGACTGTGTTCTTCCTGTGCTTTAGAGTGTTAAAATGTCTCTCATTTGACAGCAGCATTTAAAAAATGATTTCACTTGGCAAATTAAAATTTGGGAACATTAATTCTTACCTTAATTTTGCTGGGTCTTTGAAATTCTGAACTCTGGGAACCATTGATCTTGACTTGGGGGGGTCATTCTGCCTCTTTAAGGATAATTTAACTATCTCTTCTTTGATCCATTTTGTATTCGCCTTTAGACATTAATTGACACAGTCACCTTATTTTATGAATTTCTAAATTCTTAGGGACAACATATAGCACATTTCCTTTGCCAGGTAGGTTACCATCATGATGCAACTTTCTGTACTTGATGTTCCTCACTCTATCATTTGGTAGGACAACTAAGGTCCTCCTTTAAGTCACCTTTGTAGTCTACTTCTGTGGCTGGACCATCCCCTCTAAAGGACTTAGGTAACCATCTCCCTCCATAGGTGCCTATTTGGGTTCCCCTTATAACATTTCTTTGCATATTCCTTCTCTCCTCCGACCCCCCTCCCCCCATGGCTCTCACCCCGACTTCTGGCCTCAGATTTCTAAAGATCCTTTTCTTCCTGCTCTAGGGTCATTATGTGTTATCAGAAAGTCAATCAGAATTGGAGGAAAAGCAAGCATCTGCTCTCTCTGGAGGAGTCCAGGTTCAGCCAGCTGCACACAGTGACTTGGACCCCCAGACCACCAGCCAACAGCCCACCCAGTACATCATCACAACCACCACCAACGGGAATGGGAACAGTGAAGTGCATATCACTAAACCCTAACTCCCACCCTCAAGCCAGAATCAAGCAGTCACATCATGTCTTTTCTTATTCATATGTCTGGAAGCTTCTGACACTTACAACTCCTTTTTAAGATTTATCATTCACTCAAGAGTTTGAAAATCACAGTTTTGATCCTCACCAGGGCTTATTTTATCCAGATCATCTTTACCAAGTGGACTCTTCAAACCCTAGGAGTTCCCACCATGGAATGGAGGTCATTCAGATTTCAAGATGGAAAAACTTTGCCTTGCTCTTGAACTGGTTTTTTAACACATGGATAAGCCTTACTTTTCCTTTATGGAAATATTAAGATGTATTGTGTTGTACCAAAGGTGGAGAAAGGATGTGCAAAGTCCACGGCCATTGGACTTCTTAATCCCAAGCCACGGCACCAAAGGCAAAGGGGCATTTTGTAGGCGCATATTAGGTTAGAACTGCTTCCTCTTGTGAGTTTGCATTTTCAGTAATATAACAAAGGGAGCCCACTGAATATGAAAATTACAATGATGAAACCTTATGATGGTCTGAAGGAAAAACTGTCATCTAAATTTTTCTTATTGCTGATTTTTAAAAAACTTGCCATTTTGGGGAAAAGCACTGTTGGGCTGTTGGTAGTGCTTTGCACAGACCCTGGTCCTTAGCAGATTAGGTCAGAACCTCGTGTTCTGATAGATCTTACTTTATTACTCCACAACTATGGACTCCCTGTACAAGGAAAGGTTGCTTGATGTCAGCAGAATTTAAACTCCCACCTTAAAGCTTGCTCTCCCATTCTCTGGTTGAACTTGTATGAAGGAGATACTGGAGATGACAATATCAAGGAAAATGGCTACAGCAACTATACAGAGAGTGAGAAGCACTGAGACCTCATCCTGCCTTTCAGGATCCGTTTACCACTCGTTGATAAAGGGCGAAACTTGCCCTTCCCTGGTGTACCTGCAACCCTCGCTCACAGCGTGCGTGCAGTGTATTTTAGTCCTTCCAATACTGTCTTAAAATGAACATTCTTTCAGGTTGGATGGAAAGGTGGTCCTCCTTATTTCTTAACACTTTAAATATAATTACAATTCATCTGGGCCTTTTGGTAAGATAACTAACTTCACACCTTGGGGGAAAATTTTCAAAGGTGGGACCATTTATAATGTCTGTTAGGGCAATTATAAGGGATCTGGAAGAAACCCAATCTTCATATTACATTGTTAGTTGGGAGAGGGAGAAAATTCTGCCTCAATGATAGTTTTTCTTATCATTGTTCCTGTTTGGGAGTCTTAGTAGATATGAATTCAGTGGGGGAAGGTATTTCCCTTCCTTTTACTGTACATTCCAGTTGTGCACATAAAACATTACAGAAACCAGTAGGTATTTTAGCAACTTTTTGTGACATACATTTTTAGAATAATTATGGAAATGGTAGAATTTATCATTCCAGAACAGGAAGACCGACCTTCAGTTTCGAATGAAGTTAACTAATTTATTTTATTTACATTTCTGGGTAAAAACTGGCTCTACAAATTAAGAAGTATAGTAGCTTCTTTATGGTAAAGATACCTTTCTGAAAAGTAAGCAATTCTATTGAAGTAACTTTACTAATATGTAGATTTTGCACTTTATTACTGAGACCTCATTCATGTAGTTAGCCCTGAAAATTTAGGCACTAAGAGAACCTGAGAGTTCTTAGGTAGTTGTGTGGAAAATGAAAATGGACTCTGTATCTTTGGTAACAAAGAGGTAATGCTGATGTTTTCAACAGAAAATACAGACTGTGTGTCACAATGTAGAGATTCTGAGTCCCACAGTCCTCCACTGTGATGATTACAAATCTCCTAGTGTCCAGCCTCAAAAGATTTGCTAGGTAAAGAATATCAGGCTTTCCTAAAGGTCCAGTTAATTTTTTGGCCCTATTGGGTTCCTTTTTTATTTGAACCAGCACATGTACCTCCCTCCCCTCAGGAATAACTTGACTAAGATGGAAAACTATCATTGAATGGAATGTTCATTTTATGCCAGCTATTTCAAGTTTTAAGATATACAGAAGAGAAAAAATATTGTGGAAGGACTTCTGTTTCTTTCCCATTTAAGTTCTTTTCCTTTTTTTTTTTTGTCCTTACGTGGAATAAGTAAGGACTCTAGAACTATTGATAATTTGTATACTATCAACCAGAGATGCAGGTGTGGCAGTTGAGCCAAACAACTTTGCTTTAATATCAGGTATTCAGCACATTTATTTTAAGGTAAATGGATTTTGAAAAAGACTTGGATTTGAAGAGATGGCAGATGATAAGCCATCTAAGACCCAATCTGAAAAAAAATTTTGTAGACACTGTTTATACTGTGGTCTCTCCTAGGACACATTGGCACTGTAGACTTCAGTGCAGTGTGGAAATTTTGGAGTAGGTTACATACAGATTTTACATTTTTACTGTTTGATTTGTGCCCACATAAACAGACATTTCATCATGTAAACTTACTGTTATTCTGGGAAAATCTGTTGTTTTGGTCTTCTTGAATTGTTTTCTGATTTGGAATTATCCTTTCAAAAAACTCTTAGGACGTGTAGGGCTAAAAAGCACTTCGTGAGATGCTGAAGCTGACCCACAGGTTGGAAATGTTGACCCTACCCTGTTATTTAAATGTGAACATTTATGTACATTCAGTGAGTTATAGTGTTAATAGTCTTGTGCTACTCAGCAGGTGTAAAAATTAATAAATATTTTTTTTAATAAACATCCTTCTTGTTTGTACGTGTACAAAATACAAGAGCTTCTGATAGTTACTTTTTTTTTTTTAATAGTACAACTTGCATTGTTTTGACTCTGGTTTACTCTGGTGTGGTCAGAGACACAAGGTCTGGGAATTTATGGCTGACAGTATGGAACGTTGTTCCCTGTGCTTTTAGTTGGTGGTGTGTGATTCCAGACGGACTCCCAACAATCTAAAGGGAACTAGAGGCAGGCGTGCAGTCAGCGAGGGAACAGAGATTGGCTTTGTTTGGAAAGCACTGTTTTCCAAGCAGGGAGGAGCACTAGTTTGGCCTGCCAGCTTGTCTGACATATTTCTATGCAGAGAACAGAGGACAATCCCTGAACAACTGGTTGGAAGTACCTGAGTAATAAGAAGTTCGAAGCCGTTCAAAATAAAACCTAGCGAGTTAGAAGAAAGGGGCCTAAGTTCTTAACTATCGAGAATAGTTGAGAGAAGGTATAGTAATAGAGAGAAGACTATCGAGTTTGATTTAAAATGTATTTTAAATGTGTGTACTTTCTTTCTGAACGTCGAGGGTCCAGGAATGGGAGAGAGAACTGGGGCCACGCCGGGGTTAGTTGGAGCGGCACAGGCTCTGATCAGCATTCTCCTCGATGAAACTTGAGAAATCACAAAATAGGAGCTAACAGCGCACCACGTGGCTGGTACAAAGATTCTTGGATGGGAAGTGCTCAGGTGCCAGGAGCAGGGTATTGCGCCCTGCAAACGTTAGCTAATAAAACTGCATTCACTCACTTATGGGCTCCGGAGCCTCAGCTCGCGCCCAGGTAAAGACTGGCCACACTGGGTTCGCCCTCCGGACACTTCTAAGCCTGGTGAAATTAACGAGCCAGCCAACAGCCAGCCCTCCAAGGTCCAGCCCTGCGGGCTCTCGGCACTACAGGCTGTGTGCCTCGTGAGCCCCGCCCCGGCACCTCCGGCCCCGCCCCGAAAGCCACGCCCCCGGCACTTCCAGGCCCCGCCCCGCGCAGCCCCGCCCCGCGCAGCCCCGCCCCGCGCAGCCCCGCCCCGCGCAGCCCCGCCCCGCGCAGCCCCGCCCCGCGCAGCCCCGCCCCGCGCAGCCCCGCCCCGCGCAGCCCCGCCCCGCGCAGCCCCGCCCCGCGCAGCCCCGCCCCGCGCAGCCCCGCCCCGCGCAGCCCCGCCCCGCGCAGCCCCGCCCCTTCCGCCGCCCGGCCTTGGAGCGTGCACGTACCGAGACGCCTTGCGGGAGCGAGCGCGTCCGGTCTGGGACCCCGCGGGCTGAGAGGTGCGGCGGGTTACGAGACCGGCTCCCGCGGCGCAGGTGAGGGCAGGCCGGGGCGGCGAAAGCGTTAAAGTGTTGTATGGGAAGCAGAGGGAGGAAGCGAGCGGCCGGGTCTCCGAGGGTCGCTGCTCCCTCGGGCTCGAGGCAGGGGAGCGGGCGCGTTGGGAGCCGGGCGGCCTGGGTGGGTGGGGGTTAGGGTTAGCGCGGTGTGGGGGAGGGGCCTTGGGCGCGGAGGTGGCGCGGGATCCGGGCCTGGGTGCCGCGGGGGGGTTTGCAGTTTGAAGCGAGCGGCTGCCGCGGCCAGAGCCTGGGGTTTAACTTATGTGTTGGGGAGGGGCCTGGAGGGAAGGTTCTCCCAGGTGCAGAGAAAGGGCCTTGGGGAGAGAGGCCTTCCTGGTTGGTCAAGCGGTCCAGGACTCCGCAAGAATTAAAAACCCTAAAAAAAACCCTTGGCTTCCGGGGTCCCGACCCTTTGGCAGCTGCCTGCTTTCTTGTGTTTTGAGATTCTCTAAAGAGTAGTTGCAGGGCAAAGGTTGCCACTCGGATAGGTTACATTTAGCGATCCGTTCAGTGTAATTGAAGAAACTGGTGAGCAGTTTGTGAAACAGGTGGTTCTTCTAAGAGTCAGGTAAAACCCTGCAGCTGTTACCCTCTTTCGTGTCAATTCTGTTAAGAGGGCTGTATTCTGAACATCAGGTTGCATCTACTTTTTTGTTTTGTTTTTATAAGTTGTATTAAAGGCAAATACATTGTGCTTTCTCAACGGTATCAGTAATTTAGGCATCAGAAGTGTTCAAGATGCCGTCCTTCATCGTGTACTGAAGGGTGATGGGACATAGTCCCATCTGTGGGGACCACTCAGCTGCTTTGAACAGGAGTCTTTCCACTATATCATTATGTAGATCTGACATCTCTTCCAGATAACTTGAAATAATTAGGGGAAAGGTGCTTGTTTTAACAGTAATATTACAGGCCTGCTCTTTATCCTTTGAGAGTTTTTCAGAATGAGACGTCATTAGATGACTGCATTAAGCTATATGAATGTATCCATCTGGAAATGATTCACTGCAGGCTTCCATGATTGGAAGTAACTGTAGAGAGGACCAGAGGACCAGGTCCTGCTCCTCTTCATCTTAGATAGGTAAAGAAATTGATAGCTGGTTAGGTAAGATGTGCTCAGGGTCTCTGAGATGAGATTAGGAGTTTGGTTAAAACTGTTTTTAAACCTGTTTTTATTCCTTTCCATTTGGTAGGAATCAGAGTTGGAGAAGGGGTTTAGCAAATGTTTGTGGAGTGGTTGAGTTCAGCCTCCCCTTGGACCGGTTGTTAATAACTATGGCCTCTGCTTTGCACCTAATTACAGCCGTCAGCCTTATGAGATGCTCTCTGAAAAAATTTTCATATGTATATTTCTAAAGGTAGCCAACAGTGTTCACTTATTATAGGAAGGAGGAAAATAGCATTACATTTACATGGTTGTACATATCAGCTGGACCAACTAAAGTGCATTGGCCACTGACTTAGTGTGAAGAACATGGATTTGCAGTCCTGCACACCTGAATTTCCGTCCTGCCTCTGGGGTTGGGCAAGTTGCTTACCTATTCTGATCCTAGGTTTTAGTATCTGTAGATGTAATAACCCTATCTTGCACACTTAATAAGAATTAAATCAGGTACATGAAAGGCCTAGCACTTAACAGGCCCTCATTAACTTAGTGTTACTTTCTGAACTTCACTAGTCTCTGGATTTTCAGTCATTTCTTTTATGAGGGAACAACAAAGAGTTGCTTAAAAAAAACAATATTAAGTAAACTATATTAGTGTGAGAGATTTCAAGTGTTGGTTGCTCAGTCATGTCTGACTCTTTGTGACCCCATGGACTGTAGCCCACCAGGCTCTTCCGTCCGTGGAATTCTCTAAACAAGAGACTCGAGTGGGTAGCCATTCCCTTCTCCAGGCGATCTTCCCGACCCGGGTATCAAAACCTAGGTCGATCTTGCATTGCAGGCAGATTCTTTACCATCTGAGCCACCAAGGAAGCCCCAAAAGTAGTGAAAGTGTTAGTCCCTTAGGGAAGTCTAAATGGTGGACTCTGATCTAGTTATCATTTAATCTATAAGTCTCATTTTGCTGTGTGTAAAATGAAGGTATAAGAAATTCTGTTAATTGGGCAGTTGCTGTAGAAGTGTTCTGAGTATTGGGGGAGACCTACTGGATAAGATGTGAAATTCTGATGAGGATGTGGTGAGAGGGAGGGAGAAGAGCTGTTTAACAGTGGTTAGGGTTTAAGGCAATGACAACCGACTCCTGTACTTTTGCCTGGAAAATCCCATGGTTGGAGGAGCCTTGTAGGTTGCACTCCATGGGGTCGCTCGGATTTGGACACGACTGAGCGACTTGACTTTCACACATTGGAGAAGGACATGGCAGCCCACTCCTGTGTTCTTGCCTGGAGATTCCCAGGGACGGGGGAGCCTGGTGGGCTGCTGTCTATGGGGTCGCACAGTCGGACACGACTGAAGCGACTTAGCAGCAGCAGGATTTAAGGATAAGGTAAAAGAAGAAATTAGAGATTGAATATTTTATGGGTTGGATATTTTGTGAAGGAACATTAGTGTCAAGAGATCCCTGGGGTTTCCGCCTTTGTGTCTCATGGTTTGACTGCATGGATTTGTCTAGCTTACTTGTGGAACATAAACAATGGATTCCTTGGACCATATGCTGACGGATCCCTTGGAACTGGGCCCATGTGGGGATGGCCACGGCTCACGGATCATGGAGGACTGCCTCCTGGGGGGCACCAGGGTTAGTCTGCCTGAGGACCTTCTGGAGGACGTGAGTAGTGACAGCCACACTGTTGTTTCCTTCTAAGAGTTCTTCTCTACACTCTTTTCTACACTCTGCAAGTTTTCAGTCTTTTGTGCTCCCTTCTTTCTGATTTTCTACATTGCAACCAGAGTGATGTTTTAAGTGTAAATCTGTTTAATATTCTCATTAAGGAAGAAAGTATAAGCTTCATTCTACATGTTTAATCACATGTTCACTCGATAAGCCATATTTTAACAAGACAATTTTCAACAGTTTGCTACTTTTTTTTTTTTTTTTAATTATTTGGCCGCTCAGCCTGCAGGATCTTAAGTTCCCCAAGCAGGAATTGAACTTGCACCACTGTGCAGTGAGAGCAGTCTTATTAACCACTGGACCTCCAGAGCTATCCCAAAAAGTTCTATATTTAAGGACCGAATTGTGTGTATCTTTTATATTAGATGTTTACCCAAGTCGTGAATCATGATACGGAATGCATACATCATCTGTCCATAAGGTAACCAGCTTTCTAGTCAATTAATAGTTCATTTCTTGAGATAGTATTAATAGTGTGCTTTTGACCACTTTTCACAGTTGAGCTGTGCAGTCATCATTGTTAAGGTGGCTACCATTTATTTAATACTTATTATGTGCAAGGCACTAGGTATGCTGAAACATGTGTTTATTTATTTTGCCGAAGTTCAAATATACGGACAGGTATAGAGTATCATATGGTGAACATCCATGCATTCAGTTTGGGAAGATGCTTTCATTTAGTCATATTTGGTTCAGATTTTTCTTTCATCGTGTGTTAAAAATTATAGATAAAATTAAACCAGCATTTTGCCCATATTGCCTCCTTTCACAAAGTAACAGCTACTGGACTTGGAATATGTCTTTCCCATCCATGTTTTCTTTGCATGCTCTTTCAAGTAAACCTCTGTATGTCGTTCAGTCGGCCAGCAAGCACTTGTTTGACCCAAGTGCTTGCTCTGTGCCAGATGCTGAGATGCCAGTAGTAACGTGGTGTGCAGAAGCAGGTTTGTGCGGGGAGGTCTGAGGCAGGGAGCTGGAGGTGCTGTGTTGCCTGCCTGCTGAGACACCTGCAGGTGGTTGGTCTCTCGGTTGTCTCCTGCTTATACCCTTCACTGTCTCCTTACTGTCTGTCCTTGTCATTTAGGATAAAGTGACAAGTACTCGCTGTGTTCCTAGGTCCCTTGCTCCTGTCTTACTGCCTGCTGCTTCCCTTGCCCTCTTTCTTCTTGAGCTTCTTGATGTTGCCTGGACTTCTGTTTATTTACTTGGTTGAAGTGGGTCTTTCTTAGGGCGGAGTGGAGTCTTAGCCGATGGACCACCAGGAAAGTCCCCTGAACTTTTATTTTTTTTTAATTAAAAAGTGAAAGGTGTCTCACATAAGAATGTATAAAGTGCACACATATATATACACACATATATATGCAGTTTAAACAGTAATAAAACACCTATGGAACCCCCACTTGAATGCTAACTCTCCTCTTCTCCCTCTCTATTGCCCCTAAAGGTCGCTGCTGTCTTTTGTAGTAATTATTCTTTTATTACTTTGGGTTTTGCTCTGTGGGTTTTTAACCCTTCTGCCTCAGCACATTCTCCTCTTATCCCTTGCTGTCTTAGATAAGTCACCTCACGTGAAAGGTGTTCTCTGAGACTGTAAGTCTGGGGAGTGTGCTTCTCCTGTGTACTCACGGGTAAACTTCCACTCCATTGCAATAGCTTGTTTAATTATTCTCCCTCCAGACAGTATACGCACTCGTCCATCTTAGCACATGGCACTTAGGATGTGTCCTGTACATAATTGCCAGGTGGAGAACAGATCTGGTCCTGCTGCTTCGCGTTCTCAGCAGATGCCCTCAGCTCTTAGAGTTCTCGCCTCCCATGTGGACTTTTTCTGCCCCTCATCTTGAGCTGAACTAAGATGTTCACCATCTTATCCCCTGTTGGCAGAAGTGTTTTCTAAATGAGATTCTCTCTGCTGAGCTCATTTTCCTGAGGATTATTATTTACCTGCTGGGTATAAGATTGTGGTTTATATGTAATCTTTACTGATCTCTCAAGGTTTTTTTTTTTTTTTTTTTTTTTTGGCTGTCCTGTGTGGCTTTTGGTATATTAGTTCCCCAACCAGGGGTTGAACCTGGGCCCCAGCAGTGAAAGCACGAAGTCTTAGCCACTGGCCTGCCGGGGGATTCCTGACAAATCTCTCAAGATTTCAGAATTGGGTAAAGATCAGTGGAATTTTAGTTTGTTTAAAAAACATAAAAACTTGGATGGTGTTGATGGTTGCACACCATTGTAAGTGTATTTAATGCCACTGAACCGTATACCCTAAGATGGACAGAATGGTAGATTTCATGTTATGTGTATTTTACCACTTATGCACAGAAAACTTAAAAACTTTGTGTTTTTTCTCATTTGCTTTCCTCCTGCTTTTCCTGATTCTCCCAGCCCGAGATCTTCTTCGATGTAGTCAGCCTCTCAACGTGGCAGGAAGTGCTGAGCGACTCTCAGCGTGAACATCTCCAGCAGTTTCTGCCCCACTTTCCTGAAGACAGCATGGAGCAGCAGAATCAGCTCATCCTCGCCCTGTTCAGTGGGGAGAACTTCCGCTTTGGGAACCCTCTGCACATCGCCCAGAAGCTTTTCCGAGGTGTGTAGCCCCACAGTCTTGTCTTTAGAGGCTTGGAGTGGGAACACGCCCCCTTCTGTGCGTACTCCTTCTTTCACGTTACTCTGCTTTTATGTGCAGACGCTGTCCACTCAGAGTGGTTTCAGGCAGCACTTTGCTGCCTCGGCTGTTCTTCTTTTTAATAAAAAATGTTCACTTAATAGGAAACATGAATCATAGTAGATATTGCTCATTGATTTGTTATATGAACCCAGCTGTGTAGCCACCACTGAGATTAAGAAGCAAAGCGTTATTAGCATCTTGAGGACACCCTTTATGAACAGTCTTCAGAATTCACTAAAGAATTCACTTCATGAATTCATTCATTCATGTCAGTTTACCGTTTGGCTTGTCGCACATATTTATGTGTGTGTGATGCGCATACATTTTTTTCCTGCAGAAAAGTTGACACTTTCCCACCAGGCGCTTTAGCATGTAGTGTATCTCTTAGCAGAGACATCTTCCACATAATCACAGTGTTAATACCACACCCAAGAAACTTCACAGTGAACAGTAATAGCATAGTAGCCCTTGTTCAGATTTTCCCAGTGGTTCAGTGTCCTTTATGGTCAACTTTTAAATCCAGGTTGTGCTCATGGTTTGTGTGTGGTGTGTGGATTTCCTGTCTCTCAGTTCCCTGAATCTAGGACCTTTTTCCCCTTGTCTTTCAAAATCCATTTGTGACAAGCCCAGGACACTTGAATTGTAAAATGTCTTGCTTTCTGGGGAGTTAGCATTGCTTCCTCACGATATAAATTTGGGTTAAACATTTTGCCAAGAAAGGAAATGGGAAACTTCATCCCCCCACCCCTCCCCGACAGGGGGCATGCGATCTCAGTCTTGCTTTTGATCACTTGGTTCTGTGGTGTCTGCGGGGCCTGCTGACTGTAAGGGCACCTTTCTCCCCCTGTAATTAATATGCAATCTATAGGGTCATATTTAGGGACCATGTGATAATCTTATCTTCAGAAAGCCTTTGTTTTCCCCAGTGGTTTTAGCCCCCACCAATCCTTTCCTGAATCCGTAATTACACTGGGGATTCCAGAGTGGGTTGGGGTTACTCTGAAGTCCCCTTTGCTCCCTGTCCCATGGAGAGGAGCAGAAGGTGCTTCTCCCCTTCCCGCTTTCTGGGGTGACTTTGCTTTGGCAGGAGCCCCTGAAAAACACCACCTCTTGAGTTTTGTTAAACTGGACAGTTTGACAGCTGCAGAAATAATGGAGAGAAAAAGCTTATCATTTCATACCTCATTATCTTAGGGGTTCAAATGAGTGTTCCTTTCTTTGGTGGGTTATTAAGGAGGATTTCCCCTCTGGCTGGCCAAGGTTTATGTGGCTGAAGCCACGTCTCAGGTGGAATTAAGCTGGTAGGCCTGGTTGGTGGTTGAGGCCATGTCAGGGACTGTCTGTGACGTTGGCACGTTTCCTTCCAAATCAAAGTGATGGTCCTGGTGAGGATGCAGACAAGGAACGTCAAAGTAGGAGTTCTGTGATTCTCATTGTCCTGCATCGTGTTTCAGGTCCAGTGTTGATGAGGATGGCTGCGTCACCATGGTTACTGTGGTTATGTGTCTTGACTGAGTTGGCATTGCTGCCAGTTCTCTTACCTTTGGTTTTGTTTTCCTGGTAATGTTTTAGATAGACTCCTTTTTCTTCTTAAGCCCAGATGCTTCTCAGGCTCCCTGGTCTTCTGTTTCTGGGGAAAGCCTCATCTGTCAGGGACTCGGCTTCCTACTTGTAGCCGCACCCCAGCTCACTGTGGTCACTTCCCCCTCACCTACTTGTCTTGGAGGAAGGACCTTTCTTCATTTAAGGCTGAACCCTGCTCTTGCTCTTTTCATGTTTTGCGTCCTCTAGGACCTCATTTCTTAGCAGTTGTTCCACCGTGTGTATTTGCTGTACTTGTTCTTTTTCAGTCTGTAGATGGGATCAGGGATCTCACACTGAAAAAGTCCTTAACCATTGTCCCCTTCATCATCATCTGTCATTTTCCCTTTTCTCCAAACTTCTGGCAAGACATCATAGCTTGCAGTCCTTGGGGGGCTGTCCCCTGCACCTGTCAGCACCTTTCTAAATTTTAAACTTCAAACCTACAGAAAAGTGATAAGAATCTGTAATTGACACCCACATACTTCTCACCAGGTTCACCAACTATTAACATTTTGCCCCATTTATTTTCTTGTCCTTGTTGTGCTCATTACCACTATTTTTAGTTTCCCTGAACCACTTGAAAAATCCTAATTTTTCAGCATTCATCTCTGAAAAGCAAGAACATTCTCTTAGGTAACCAGAAATGATCAAGTTCAGAAATACATAAAGTACTGTATTGAATTTAAATTCTGAATGTCAGTATGAAATTTATCACTATTACGCTACTGTGTGGCCCATATTCTTATTTTGCTACTTGTTCCCAGTGCTCATTTTTTCCTCTGGTCCATATTTCTTTTCAGTGAAAATGCAATTTGCAGATCAGCAGATGATTTTCAGTTCTCTTCTTAACCCATCCGTAATGTCTGATGTCTTGACCCTGATGTCTGATGTCTGAAGTGAGACCTTCGCCTCCCCACTTTGCACTCGTGGCCCTCCCGTTCCTGCTGGGCCTTGCACACCCTTCCAGCATACCCCTCTCTGCTGAGTCCTCATTGACTCACTGTTCCTGCCTCTGCTCCTGCCATTAGGCCCACCCTTCCTCCTTACTTGCCTGCTCCCATCTACTAGCTCTTCTCTGGGAGCTCTTATTCGGGCTACTTCAGACACCATCTCCACATAGCCACCAGCGTGAGCATCTCAAAGTTTCAGTTTTCAGAATATTTGCCAATTGCCATCACTTGGAATAAAATCCACCACCTGCCAGGCTTATTTGCCCTCTTACCAACCTCACCCAGGGCTGTAGTTGCCTTTTCCACTGCTCTGTGGCTCAGCGCGGGCAATGGAAATACTACATGAGCCACATGTTCAGGTAAAAAACTTCCAGTGACCACATTAAGAATACTAAAACCAGTTGATTTTAATGATGTGTTTTCTTTAGTTTGATGTACTCAGAATTCTCTTTTTTAATAGAGCATTTGTCTGTTGTGCTTGTCAAAAGTTGGGGAAGCTAAAGACTGAAGGAAGATCACATCAGAGAAGTACAGAAGTAAAGAAGTAGAATTTTTGTTCAATTCCTGTATGTCAGCATCAGTAGCATTAAACTCTTGGGTCTTTCCTTAAAAGTCAAATTCCCTATTTCTCTACAGCAGGCAGCGTTACAACATGGTGGCTGAGAGCTTGAACTCTCGAGCTGGATGGCCTGTTTTCAGACTCAGTTTCCCCTTTCAGCTGTGTGACCTTGGACAAGTTATATATTTTGCCCACGCCTCAGGCACTTCTGTAATGTGAGAATGTAGTGGTATCTTCTTTATGCAGGGAAGAGGGGTTGTGAAGATGAGGTGAGTTACTATATGCACGGCCCTTATATGGTGACAGTTATGTGTCAGGTGCTGTTGGCTCTTATTGATTACGTCAAAATGTCATTAAAGGCGGTTCGAATAAAAACAGACATTTTGATGCCGTGTTTTAGCTCTCTGAGATTAGCTGTTCCATCTGTCTCCTTAAGTTCACATTGTAGCACCCTGCTTAAATCTAATATTCCAAAACGGACTTCTCTCACTGCGGCTCCCATGATGGCACCAGTTGCCCGTGTCGAGTGATCTGGGTACCATGCTCCTCTTCCTGCCCCAGCATCCAGGCTGTCAGCAGATCTAATCTTTGTCCCTTGAAATACATCTCAAGGTTCTACTGCTGCTCACTTAACCACTACTTAACTGATCAGCTGACATATGCCTTTCTTTAAGGTTCTGGAGCTGCAGTCATGCTCTTAATTCTAATAGGGGAAAACAAGATGATAGATAAGCAAGTGTGTCTCGGTGTTACGCACTGCAGAGACTCAGGAAGGGTAGTGGGCCTGGTAGTGACACGAAGGAGCTGTCTTGGGTGGTAGTTGGGTAGGGCTTCTCTGATGAGGTGCATTTGGACAGAGGCTGCCTGAAGATCTGAGGAGCAAGCTGTGAAGACACTGGGTCTTGCAGGAAGCCTTGCAGGTGGAAGGACGCTAAGGAGAAAGGCCTCTGGGAAGTATGGTGCACTTGGGAAATAGCATGGAGGCCAGTGGGGCTGGGGTGGAGGGAGCAGAAGGGGGGCTGGTGGAAGAAGAGGCTGCGATGCATGGGGCCCGCACAGCAGGGTCTGTAGGCCTCCTGGGGCCTCGGCTCTGCACTGGATGTGGGGGACAACGTGGGACCAGGCCACTGTCGGCCCTCACCTGGACCACTGCAGTGGTGCCACCTTTATGTTTTGCTCTTGGTTGTGTTGTTCTCTTGCTTCAAATCCGTAGAGTTCCCCAAGCTATACAGTAGGCTCTCATTAACTCATCTATCGTATACATAGTAGTATATATATATCAATCCCAACCTTGAAATTTTTTAAACATAAGAAAAGTTGAAAAACAGCATATACAATGCACACCCATGAAACTGACCCATGTTCATTAGTTGACGTTTCCCACGGTTGCTCTAATCAGGCCTCATTTTAGGTCGCCGCCTCTATAGCGACTCTTCTTGCTCTTGAGGACTGTTCCAGGTTGGTTCCTGCACAGCCTCAGGGAGTCAAGTCCCGGCGTGTGTGCTTCCTGTGTCTCCCCACCGCCCTTCGCGCCCCCTCCCATCCCGCAGGCTCCCCTCCCCCAACACCGTCCCCTGGTCAGTGCAGAGCTGTCCCCTCCCCAGCCCGCGTGGACGGTGGCTGATGTGGCTGTGCCTGTTCCTGCAGACGGACACTTCAACCCCGAGGTGGTCAAGTACCGGCAGCTGTGCTTCCGGTCGCAGTACAAGCGCTACCTCAGCTCCCAGCAGCAGTACTTTCACCGGCTGCTGAAGCAGATCCTGGCCTCGCGAAGCGTAAGTGTCCCCCCTCCTGGGAGCCGCGCGGACATGCACCTGGTGACCCTAAAAAAGACCACGAGGAAGAAAGCTGCCTGTCCACCCCTAACACGGCCAAGTGCACCCTTCCTTCTTCAGCTGCATTTTCAGACGTCTCCTGATTTCAGAGATGTTAGGACAGAGGGGAAAAAGGATATGTCTTAGAATCGATGAAATGTCGTAGCTTCTTTATTCACCCAGAGAGGTGGCTTTCCAGTCCATGGTGGGTCATTCAGGAGAACCAGGTTGCCCTCAGTTTCGCGTCTGTGTGCCGAGGGGAGCCAGGTTTAGTGGCCCCAGGTCTGGACCAGCCTCGGGAGGCCTCGGGGTCAGGTAGTTATGACCCTTAGAGGACCTGTAAGTTTTGGTGTGAAAATACTCAGGTGTCTGGTGTAAGTATTCATTCTCGATGGAGTAGCTCTCCGATTTGGGATTTTCCACCGTAATCAGTACAAGCCCCTTTTATTTGAACGTATTCATCCACAAGCATCTTTGTGATCGGAGGGAGGGAATTGAGCTCATTGAAGAAGAGAAGGAAGCAGGGACTTGGGGGACCTGCCAGAGTAAGCTTCCAGGATCCCGTCCTGTCTGTTGTGTTTGCAGGACCTGCTGGAGATGGCCCGGCGGAGCGGCCCTGCCTTCCCGTGCCGGCAGAAGCGGCCCTGGCCGTCGCGCACGCCCGAGGAGCGGGAGTGGCGCACCCAGCAGCGCTACCTGAAGGTCCTGCGGGAGGTGAAGGAGGAGTGTGGGGACACGGCGCTGTCCTCCGACGAGGAGGGTGCGTGCCCTCGGGCCCCGGGGCTGGCGTCCGTCTCCACCGCAGCTGCTTGTCCGCCTGGAGCGGTGGGCACTGTTTTCCCAGCCCCGCGATGAGGAAGCTATGCCTGTGCACTGTGGTCTGTCTGAGCCGGGAGTGGAGCTTGGAGTCCCTGGTCCTTCGGCCCTGAGGCACTCCCGCTGGGCGGCTGTGACTGCAGACCCCTTCGCTCTTGGCACTCGGGTGCCCGCGGCCCTACCGCGGGCTCTCTGGTTCTGCTAGCTGCTCGAGAGGACTGCTTCCCCACAGGAGGGGCGTAGTGACCTGGCCTCCACAGTGACCCACCACAGTGGATGTCTCTCCTCCTGGAAAAGCTGCTTACGTGACCTCAGAGCTACAGTCCGACTGGGTGGGTGGGGTCCGGAGGGAGTGCTGGAACCTGGCTTCCTGCTTGTTGGCGTAGCCATCTTGAACCCAAATGACCACTTGGCCAGTCTCCCCTGCCGGGGTCCAAGGCCGTGTTGGATTTACAAGGAAACTTTTCTTTTGAAGATCTCAGCTCGTGGCTTCCAAGCTCCCCAGCACGCTCCCCGAGCCCTGCTGTTCCCCTCAGGGTGGTGCCCACACTCTCCACCACGGACATGAAAACCGCAGGTGAGCACTGCTCTGGTGCCAGGGCATGGCGGGGGGGTGTGGTGGTGGGAGCGGCACTGGCTTCTTCCTGCCAGGAAAAGAGCAGTGTTCCTTAGAACTGGGAGGTTTGGAGAAGTTTTTGTTTGGCTCTACTTTTTTACAAATAGGCCAGCTAGCATTTCTTCCTTTACTATGAAAATTTCCCTTAGGATTTGATCAGCTGGCATTTTGGCCTAGAGAAAGCAGAATCTTAAAATAACAATACTAAGGTACAGTTTAATAATAGAACAAGAGAGGTAACCAGAGGCATAACAGTTTCTTGGCACGTCCATGGAATTAGAGAGTTTTTTAATTGGATAGGAATCAAAGAAGACTGTGGAGAATCTTCTAGGCATTTCAGGAGCAGCTGAGTACAGAGGTTATTGTTACTGACCAGCTTACGGAAGAGCTGCAGAGTTGAGTCAGTGACTGTCCATATTTTAAGACTGCGGTACTTGCAGCACACGCGTCAGAAGGGAAACCCAGAGATGTCGTACTTTTGAATACTAAGGTGGCCAGGAAAATGTGAGTCTGGAAATAAGGACTATCCATGTGGTTCAATTCCTTTTCCCTTAGATAAAATAGAGCTGGGGGACAGTGACCTGAAGATCATGTTAAAGAAGCACCACGAGAAGCGGAAATACCAACCAGTAAGATTGGAGGGGGTGGTCGGTAGCTTGTCAGTCTAATCTCCAAGCGGGTGTCCTGAGGACCATACAGGGAGCCACTGCGTCCTCAGTCCCTTTCCTTGTACTTGTTAGAGGGCAGGAGCGGCATGGAGGCCCAGGAACACCGAAAACGTGTGGAGAAGACAAACACTTGGACTTCATAAGACATGCTCACCGTGTTGTCTGATCTAGCCTTTAGGACAGTACCGCTGTGTGAATCATTATGTCCAGTTTGCAGGTCTCAGAGAGGCCAGGGAGCTTGTCTTCTGCCTGATGGCTAGCAAACAGCAGAGCCAAGCATCAGAGCCTGAGCTCCTCCCACATTTTATGTTTCCGTTCCTCCACACCACCAGATCAAGGTAACGCCAAGCCAGAGAGTGCAGTGGAGGAGGAAGGGCAGTCCTTCTTAGGCAGAGGGGTGAGATGGGCAGAGTCTCCATGGGAGTTAAATCCAAGTTCTGTCTCTGTCTTTTCCGCTCGCCATGATGTTCGGTGAATCCCTTCATTTCTCTGAGCCACACTGTCAGTCTTTCTAAAATATAGCATCACATAACAGTACTATTTGAAGAACATATAAAGAATGCACAAGAGCTTTATGAACTTTAAATGCCACACATGAAAGGTTCTCCTCTGCCCTGTTAGAAAGAGCAGTAGTTTTTCTCTGTGTATGTTTTAAACTCAACACAGTTTCCTCAAGCACACCTACCATCTAATTGTGTCTGTTAGGTACATGGGCAAAATCACCAGCAATGCCTAGCTCCTCTCTGGGGTCTTGATAACACATCTCTGAATATCGTGTCTAGGATCATCCGGACTTGTTGACAGGGGACTTGACTCTGAATGACATCATGACTCGAGTGAACGCTGGCAGGAAGGGCTCGCTAGCAGGTAAGAACATCCTGCAGAACGTCTGACTGGTGTCTGCTCATACAGGCCTCTCTGCATAGTGCAGGAGGAAATGTAGCTACAGCCTCCTCCTCGCTGATGATCTTTGTTTCGTTATCGCCTCTTATGGATTTGTAGGTGGAGAATGGTTATTAAGTCAGATCAACAGATCATTGGCTTTTTAAAACACTCATTGGGTTTGGTTTTAAAAACAAAACTATGTCTTATTACTGAGGCTTTTCTTTCATTTGATAGTGGGCCTTGGGAAAATAATAAGCAGATAAGTTCCCTCATTTCCTGATGTAGAAGTTGTAGTTTTATGACTTATGTTGTTTTTTCCTCCAGCCCTGTATGACTTGGCTGTCCTTAAAAAAAAGGTTAAAGAAAAAGAGGAAAGGAAGAAGAAGAAAATAAAATTGATCAAGTCGGAGGTGGAGGACCTGGCCGAATCCCTGAGCGGTCCTGAAGGGCTCCCACCGCTCTCGCAGGCTCCATCCCCTCTGGCCATAGCTGCCATCAAGGAAGAGTAAGTGAGCAGAGGGGTTCATGGCTCAGGGATACCTCTGTGCTGGTGCCTCTTCTGAGCCCTGAGTCCCAGGGTCCTGGGGAAAGTGCGTGGTGTGGGCCTTCACTGAGCTGCATCCGTGACTGCTGGTAGGCTTGGAGGCCCTCCAGCAACTGGGAGGTGTGGTGTTTTTGTTTTTTTTTTTTGGTGGTCCTTATCTTTTTCTTCCCTTACTAGGCCTCTCGAAGACCTCAAGCCTTGCCTTGGAATCAATGAAATATCTTCCAGCTTCTTCTCTCTTCTGCTGGAGATCCTGCTGCTGGAGGGACAGGCTAGCCTTCCTTTGGTGAGAGTTTAGGAAGAGCCAAGGGCACTGCGGTTTCAGGTGGTAGAAATCTTCAGCAGACTGGCTTGAGAGTCCTGGGCTCTCCCCAGAGTTCTGCAGCCAGCTTGCTCTATGACTTGGGCTCACTGGGCAGACACCGCCGGCTCGTTCTAGCACAGCCATGGAATTGCCGGTGTGTTGACACAGTGGAAATCTAACTGGGCCCTGCCTTTTCTCTCTCCCTCAGCTGGAAGAGCGGGTTTTGGATTGGCAGTCCTCTCCAGCCAGCTCCCTCAATAGCTGGTTCTCCGTGGCCCCCAACTGGGCAGAGTTGGTATTACCAGCCCTGCAGTATCTTGCTGGAGAAAGCCGTGGTAAGGTGCTTTTTTCTGTAGGGTCAGTGTCTCTCTCCCTCCCACACAGCCCCGCCTTATCTGATTCTCCTGTTAGAATGCCGCCTCACTGCTTGCATCCGTCATGACTCTGCCTGACGCCATGCGGCGATGGGCTGTGCTGCCCTGATACGCAGATGATGCACAGAAGTGACCTCCCAGCCCAGGGCAGTCGGTGGTTCTGGGTTCAGCACTCTCTGGCCTGTGTGGCTTGCTCATGGGCGTCCATTTCTTGTAGCTGTGCCATCCAGCTTCTCTCCGTTTGTTGAATTCAAGGAGAAAACCCAGCAGTGGAAACTGCTTGGTGAGTACTGCATACCACTGACCTGTCACAGAGGTTCTTTCTCTTGTTTTCTCCCCTAAGCTTCTGGTGCCTTCCAGGTAGTGCAGGCCACGAGAATGTTGAGAAGGGCAGAGTTAGGCCTTGTTTTGCTTAGTAAGAGGATCCTTCCAGGCCCTTAGGAACTCTCACGGTCTAAGTTCGTGAATCCCATTGGGTTTTGGCTAAGGTGAAGTTGCCCTGTGTCCTGATGCTCCCCAGGGCTGCTGAATTGAAATCTGTGGGGTGTCTTACAGTAGCACCTGTGTTTCTGTCATTTGTATCTCTGCCTTTAGGGTAACTTACAGTAATATGATTGCTTTTCTTTCCTAAAATGGGCTTTGTTGTTGAGGATAATGTGTCAGGCAGCCCCAAGTAAGCTGTTTCTACAGGAAAGGCTTCCTTTGTTATAAATTTGTAAAGTCCCACTTACCACATAAGCTGTAGTAACGTGTACTTGAAATAACTTGGTGATGAGAGGAAGATTCGTGTTGATTTCCTGTGGAAATACTCAAATCTCTCTCCACTCTGTCCAGTGGTCTGTGAAGAGAAACACAGAGAGAAGCTTGTGAAGCAGTAGGTTCATTCCTTTCTTACAACTGTGATTCGCCTTCTAGGTGTCAGGCGGTGTTAGGTGCTGCGAGTATAATGGTTGGTGACGTAAACAGTGTGCTCCCCTCGTGGAGCTTAAGACTTGTTTGGGGGAACAAATACTCAAATAGCAAACGTGCACATTCTGTGAGGGAAAGTGCCGGTAGGGGTAGTAATGAGGCATTGATGTGGTGTGCATGCAGAGTTCGAGACAGCTGTCCTGGGGAAGGTCATTTGAGCAGAGTTCTTCACGATGGCTAGGGACCAGCCCAGCAGCAAGAGGGGAAGAGGCTCCCATGGAGGTAGTGGTGTGGGTCAGTGGGGCGGGGAGGCTTCCTTTCAGGATCACACCAGCCTGCAAAGAGATCATGATAATCTGGACCTGGGTAGGGAGAACGGACGAACTTCAGAGTTTTAGGTAAAAGCTAGAGAGGTGGTTATGGACTGGGTGGTGAGCGAAGGAAGAGGGTGTCAGGTTTCACTGGTGCTGGGCTTGGACCTGGTGAACAGACTCCGCCATGGGCAACTGGGGAGGACGTCAGGCTTGGTGAGGGTGAGGAGCATGCGTGTGGTCACGGACATGCTGCCTTGAGCTTCCTTTGGGGTGTTGAGTGGATGGTGGGTTTAGAGTCCAGACCGGAGAGTCAGGGTAGAGAGCTGTGGGCATGTGTGCAGTAAGAGAAGCCAGAGGCATGGGCCCACTGAGGAGGCCAGAGGGCCCGGGATGAAGCCTTGAGAGACTCTGAGGGGGAGAGGCAGAGGGGGACACCGGAGGCAGTGACCACAGAGTGGGGAGGTCTGACTCGGGATGGGGAGTGTTCATTAGCCGCCATGGTTCCTACAGCTCAGGAGGTCAGGACAGGGTCTGTGGACACGGAAGAAATGGTGATGCTCTTGGAGGAGTGATGCAGGCTGTGGCCAGAGGTGTGCTGAGGCCATGGGTCCAGCTGGTGTGGACCCAGCCAGGGAGTGTCTGGGGCTCGTGGGTCAGATGCTTCTGCTGCAGCTGCTCTGCTCTGCCCTGTGCAGGGCAGAGACTGGATGTGGGCAAACAGCCACAAAGCCGACCTCTGCGTGCGCTGTGGAGAGCTGCGTGTCCTGGCTGTCAGGGCCCTCTCCTGCAGCTCTCCGCCAGTTAGGGAGACAGTGGATATGGACCGCGTTTTCTACAGTGTTATCTGTTGTTGTTATTTATTTAAAAAAATTTTTTGTTGGCCACACTGCATAGCATGTGGGATCTTCATTCCCTGATAAGGGTTCAAACCAGCACCTCATGCATTGGAATCATGGAGTCTTGAGCACTGGACTTGCCAGGAATGGCCTGGGAAACTTTAAAAAATTCTGATGCCTGGGCCTTCTCCACACCTGTTCTGGTTGGTTGGTTTGGGGGAGCCTGAGCCTCGCATTTTCAAAAGTTTCCAGGTAATCCCGCATTACCAGGGTTGAGAAACTGGACTAGGCACCTTGAAGATTCCTGTTTTAGAGAATGTCAAGGTCTAGTTGTGATTGTGGGAGTGGCTGAGAAGTTAAGGTGCTGACTGCACAGCCTGTGTGGATGTCCATCAGACACTTGAAGTTACTCCTGTCAGGCTTTTAATCCCTTCAAGTTGATTTCAAGTTAATTTCCATGCATGTTGTCAGGCAGCAGTCCACCTTCATCCTGCCTGTGGACGTCCAGGCCGAGGGCTCTTCTGTATGCAGGACCGTTGCTGCGGTCCTGGCAGGGTCTTCCTCGGGCGTAGGTACAGTGAGGAGGAGGAAGTGGAGTCCTTACATCGTGCCTTTAGATCACACTGTTGTTATTTTTTGCCTATTTGTTCTAATAGGCCAGTCCCAAGACAATGAAAAGGAGTTAGCTGCACTCTTCCAGCTGTGGCTGGAAACCAAAGACCAGGCCTTCTGTAAGGTATGTTGTTGAGAACTGCCAGTTCTCTCGTCTTGGGCTTCCAGAACCCTTGAGTTAACTGGAATTCTTCAGTCCATTGACCTGTCACTGTTTTCCTTTCTCCAGCAAGAAACTGAAGACAGCTCAGATGCCACAACGCCTGTTCCTCGGGTGTGAGTATAGCAGTGCCCTGAGTGAGGCTGGTGCCCCAAGAAACCCTTGTCTCAGTCCCGCCCTGGTTGTGCTGACATGTCCTTGTATGTCAGAGCCGGAGAGCTTGAGAGAGATTGGGTCCCTGGGTCCTTGCCTGCCTCAGCCTCCCCGGGGGGCAGCAAGCTCCCAGAGTAGGAGTGTTGCCCCAGGAGCCTGAGTGGCAGGATCCACCTACAGGTGTGTGCTTTTCCCTGGTCTCCCTTCAGTTCCTGTGCAGAATGGTGGTTCTGGGTGCTGGAGAAGGGCTGATGGGTCTGGTGGTTCTGGACGCTGGAGAAGGGCTGATGGGCCTGGTGGTTCTGGATGCTGGAGAAGGGGTGATGGACCCTGGTGGTTCTGGATACTGGAGAAGGGCTGATGGGTCTGGTGGTTCTGGGTGCTGGAGAAGGGGTGATGGGCCTGGTGGTTCTGGGCGCTGGAGAAGGGCTGATGGGCCTGGTGGTTCTGGGTGCTGGAGAAGGGGTGATGGGCCTGGTGGTTCTGGATGCTGGAGAAGGGCTGATGGGCCTGGTGGTTCTGGATGCTGGAGAAGGGCTGATGGGCCTGGTGGTTCTGGATGCTGGAGAAGGGGTGATGGACCCTGGTGGTTCTGGATACTGGAGAAGGGCTGATGGGCCTGGTGGTTCTGGATGCTGGAGAAGGGCTGATGGGCCTGGTGGTTCTGGGTGCTGGAGAAGGGCTGATGGGCCTGGTGGTTCTGGATGCTGGAGAAGGGCTGATGGGCCTGGTGGTTCTGGGTGCTGGAGAAGGGGTGATGGACCCTGGTGGTTCTGGATACTGGAGAAGGGCTGATGGGTCTGGTGGTTCTGGGTGCTGGAGAAGGGCTGATGGGCCTGGTGGTTCTGGATGCTGGAGAAGGGGTGATGGGCCTGGTGGTTCTGGATGCTGGAGAAGGGCTGATGGGCCTGGTGGTTCTGGATGCTGGAGAAGGGGTGATGGACCCTGGTGGTTCTGGATACTGGAGAAGGGCTGATGGGCCTGGTGGTTCTGGATGCTGGAGAAGGGCTGATGGGCCTGGTGGTTCTGGGTGCTGGAGAAGGGCTGATGGGCCTGGTGGTTCTGGATGCTGGAGAAGGGCTGATGGGCCTGGTGGTTCTGGATGCTGGAGAAGGGGTGATGGGTCTGGTGGTTCTGGATGCTGGAGAAGGGCTGATGGGCCTGGTGGTTCTGGGTGCTGGAGAAGGGGTGATGGGCCTGGTGGTTCTGGATGCTGGAGAAGGGGTGATGGGCCTGGTGGTTCTGGATGCTGGAGAAGGGCTGATGGGTCTGGTGGTTCTGGGTGCTGGAGAAGGGCTGATGGGCCTGGTGGTTCTGGATGCTGGAGAAGGGGTGATGGGTCTGGTGGTTCTGGATGCTGGAGAAGGGCTGATGGGCCTGGTGGTTCTGGGTGCTGGAGAAGGGCTGATGGGCCTGGTGGTTCTGGATGCTGGAGAAGGGCTGATGGGCCTGGTGGTTCTGGATGCTGGAGAAGGGCTGATGGGCCTGGTGGTTCTGGGTGCTGGAGAAGGGCTGATGGGCCTGGTGGTTCTGGATGCTGGAGAAGGGGTGATGGGTCTGGTGGTTCTGGATGCTGGAGAAGGGCTGATGGGCCTGGTGGTTCTGGGTGCTGGAGAAGGGCTGATGGGCCTGGTGGTTCTGGATGCTGGAGAAGGGCTGATGGGCCTGGTGGTTCTGGATGCTGGAGAAGGGCTGATGGGCCTGGTCTTTCTGGATGCTGGAGAAGGGCTGATGGGTCTGGTGGTTCTGAGTGCTGGAGAAGGGGTGATGGACCCTGGTGGTTCTGGGTGCTGGAGAAGGGCTGATGGGTCTGGTGGTTCTGGATGCTGGAGAAGGGGTGATGGGCCTGTTGGTTCTGGGCGCTGGTGGAGTGCAGTGTACCCATAGGTCTTTGTGTTCCAGAAGGACTGACTACGTGGTGCGGCCCAGCACGGGGGAGGAGAAGCGAGTTTTTCAGGAGCAGGTGAGAACAAACTGGAAGAAGGGAAGGGAAGTTGCTCAGTCGTGTCCAACTCTTTGCAACCCCATGGGCCTCCCACGCTCCTCCGTTCATGGGATTTTCCAGACAAGAGTACTGGAGTGGGTTGCCATTTCCTTCTCCAGAGGATCTTCCCGACCCAGGGATCGAACCTGGGTCTCCTGCATTGCAGGCAGACGCTTTACCATCTGAGCCACCAGGGAAATCCTTGAACAAACTGGAACTCATGTAAATCTCTGTGTCTGCGAGACCAGGTGAAGAGATGCTCTGAGCCCAAAATTCTTGGAAGCAGCTCACACTCTTAACCTCAGCTGTTCCTTTAGTTGGGATTGCTTTTCCGGAGCAGAGATGATGTGAGGAAGGGAATGAGAAAACTTTTGATGGTTTTTTCTGCAGATAACGAAACACACTGACTTCTTGATGACTTGGCTGGTGACTGGCCTTTGGGGGTCATCCTTTCCCCACTCTGGTCAGCTCAGTGGTCCTAGTGGAATAGCCTGATTCCTCCTAGTTCCAGTCTCTCCAGACCAACCCCTTACTGCTCGGAGTGGCTGGAGAGACCCCTCTGACTGACTCAGGAGCTCGTCCGTTCTCTTGACAGGAGCGCTACCGGTACAGCCAGCCCCACAAAGCCTTCACCTTCCGCATGCACGGCTTCGAGTCCGTGGTGGGGCCCGTGAAGGGTGTGTTCGACAAGGAGACCTCGCTCAACAAGGCACGGGAGCACTCCCTGCTGCGCTCTGACCGGCCCGCCTACGTCACCATCCTGTCCCTGGGTGCGCCCCCACCCCCATCCCCCAGCAAAGGCTGGAGGGTCAGTGTAGCTCCAGGAAGCTTTGCAGTGGGAACATGGAGGGTGGGCTCCTGCCCAGAGTCACAGGGAATCCTTGGTTCCTTCCAGGAAGCTTTGCAGTGGGGACATGGAGGGCAGGCTCCTGCCCAGAGAGTCACATGGAATCTTGTTTTCTTCCTGGGTTCTGTGCTCAAGTTTACATTCCTTTAGGAATTGTTCAGTTAGCTTAGGTGCCAGAATTTGCTTCCTCCAGACTAGGATTTTTTTAAAGGTGAGATTTTTCACCTTTTTTGTACCATGAATTTTTGGCAGTCCGGTAACCTCTGGACCTCTTCTCAGAATTAGGTTTTTAAATGCCTGAAATAAAATGCACAGTTATGAAAGAAACCAGTCATATTGCAAAATATTCAAGCAGGTTTATGGTGCAGAAATAGGTCTTTATTATGATAAATGGTGTGACATTGCCGCAGGTGTTGTGGCTCCTCTGATTCCTGCGTAGTGATGAGTAGGAATGATACTTTGAGTTGTCGCAGCAGCTGTGCTGTGGTAAGAAATCGTCTGATTTCTGTTACAACATCACAGCACTGCCAGCGTGTGGTTGGCAACGTATGCCAGCAGAGGTCGTGCCAGCCTTGGCTCACAGTGGAAGGGAATGCTGAGTTTCAGTTTAAGTTGTAATTCTCCTGGACCCCGTGAACTCTCCAAGTTCAGGGCCTTCAGCCTCGGCTGAAAGTGTGAGGGGTGTGGAGGAAGCCACCCCAGAGGGCCGTGTCCCCCTGCTGCTGGGTCAGGCTCCCCCAGGAACCCTGCTGACGTGCTCTTTGCTGTTTCTGGTGTCAGTTCGTGACGCGGCAGCGCGGCTGCCCAACGGGGAGGGCACGCGGGCGGAGATCTGTGAGCTGCTCAAGGACTCCCAGTTCCTGGCACCCGATGTCACCAGCACGCAGGTGTGAGGGGAGGGGCTGCTCGGGTTTTGTTCGGGGGTTGTTGAAGGATGCTTACAAGGGGATACAGAATGTGTGTGCTAAGTCACTTCAGGCGTGTCCGACTCCTTGCCACTCTATGCAACTCCACGGACTGTACTCTGCCAGGCTCCTCTGTCCATGGGGATTCTCCAGGCCAGAATACTGGAGTGGGTTGCCATGCCCTCCTCCAGGGGATCTTCCCTACTCAGGGATCAAACCTTCCTTTCTTATGTCTCCTGTATTGGCAGGTGGGTTCTTTACCACTGGAACCACCTGGGAAGCCCACATGAGGGAATACAGACTGGAATAACAAATTTAATAAAACTGCTGAGGAATTTCCCGGCGGTCCAGTGGTCAGGATTCTGAGCTTTCAGTGCCAAGGGTCTGGGTTCAGTCTCTGGTTGGGAAACTAAGATCCCACAAGCCGAGTGGCATGGCCAAAAAAAAAAAAACCCAAAAGAAAGGAGTCTGGAGAAGGGTGAGCAGAGCTGCCCTGTGACCTTGCTGACGGCGAGGCTTTGCTTCAGCGTCTGCTGAGGGTCCTTAACTCACCGCCCTCAGGGTGAGTCCATCCCCCAGGACTCAATGTTCCTTGTTTTGCCGAGTGACAGGTGAGCCACTGGGAGTAGGTCTGTGTGGGGGCTGTGCCTCCTTCCCCCAGCCCCGGGTTTTCCTCTGGCATCTGAGCCGGTGGTTTTCTTTCCCCTTGTCCTGGGTCTCAGGTGAACACAGTGGTGAGCGGCGCCCTGGACCGGCTGCATTATGAGAAGGACCCGTGCGTGAAGTATGACATCGGGCGGAAGCTGTGGATCTACTTGCATCGGGACCGCAGTGAGGAGGAGTTCGGTGTGTGCCCCGCTAGCCCAGGGCGCCCTGACGTTCTGTCCCAGCCCCAGCCTTCTCCTCCTCGGCATTCGGGCAGGACGCCACTGTGCAGGGGGGACGGAGCCCTGGCTTTCGGTGAGACCAGCCTCCTTCCTGAGCTCAGCTGCCTGCTCTTGCCCGCAGAGCGGATCCACCAAGCCCAAGCAGCTGCGGCCAGAGCCAGGAAGGCCCTCCAGCAGAAGCCCAAGCCTCCGTCCAGGGTGGTGAGTGGCCTCTGGGACGGCGTGGAGGGGCCGAGCCGCCCCTGCCGCCTTGCTCACGCCGCGCGCATCCCCGCCCCGTGCGTGCAGAAGTCCGGCAGCAAGGAGGGTGCGGCGAAGGCCCTGGGCGGTGGCCCGTCCGAGCCGAGCCAGCTGAGCCTCAGCGACTCCAGCATGCCCCCGACCCCGGCCACGCCCGCGACGCCCACCACGCCTGCCCTGCCTGCCACGCCGATCTCCCCGCCGCCGGTGCCGCCGGTGAGCAAGAGCGGCCCCACGACGGCCTCGGAGCCGGCCAAGTCTGCGTCAGGGTGAGCGACTCTGCTTGCTGCCGGGCCTTCTCCCTGCGGGCTCCTTCTGCATGGTGTCCTGAGTCGTGTCTTGTTTCCCTGGGTGCTGCTCGCAGTGTTCTGCTCGTGTCCTCACCAACCATGCCGCAGCTGGGAACCATGCTGTCCCCAGCATCCAGCCAGACCCCGCCAAGTTCTCAGGCTGCTGCCCGTGTCGTGAGCCACTCGGGCTCGGCTGGGCTCCCCCAGGTGCGAGTGGTGGCCCCACCTAGCCTTCCCTCCGTGACGCAGCCAGCAGCGCCGGCCCCGGCGCTTCCACCAGTGCCCACGGGAACGCAGATCCGCATGCCGGCCACTGGCGCACAGGCCAAAGGCGGGCCCCAGGTAAGAGGGACGGGCTGCACGGGTGGGCTCATGAGGCTGGTGTCCAGTCCAGGTCGTGACTAAGGACCTGCGCCACTGTTGCTGCTGATGGCATTTATCGCAACAGCTCAGTTAATGCTCAGAGCGCGGTGGCTGAGTTGTGAGTTGTGTTTGCACGTTGGGAGTCAGAACTGTGGGAAGTTTAGTGATGTACCCCACTTTGTGACATCAGGAACGTGGTGCTTGGAGGTGGGATGTGAGAGAGGCCTGTGATTCTCGGTGTCAGACTTCTTCTGACTGTAACCTTCTCCAGGCCACTGGCCGTGGAGCTGTAGACTAGGGTTTTCTGCCTCAGGCTCCTGTGCTGTGAAGGAGTATGGTGTCTCCCCTCTCCTTGCGTGGTTAACGTGAGATGCTAGACATGAAAGTGTTTCTGCAAGTTAAGCTCTTCTACCAGCATGTCAGAGCTCCACACTGTCCGTTTCAGGGGTAGTGAGCGCTCAGCACTGTAAGCTTAGAAGACCTCCTGGGGAGGTTGGGTGCATGAGACAAGTGCTCGGACTTGGTGCACTGGGAAGACCCAGAAGGATCGGGTGGAGAGGGAGGTGGGAGGGGGGATCGGGATGGGGAATACATGTATGTCCATGGCTGATTCATGTCAGTGTATGACAAAAACCACTACAATATTGTAATTAGCCTCCAACTAATAAAAAAAAAAATACCAACTTCCTATTCTCTGAAAAAAAAAAAGACCTCCTGGGGGAGTGCGTCTTGGGTGGTTACAGCTGGAGACCTCTCTGGGTGCTGGTCTGCGGCGTCCTGTCTAATTAAGCTCTCGGCCTCCTGCCTGGAACTAGACAGTCCTGGCCACTGTTCCGGTCAAAGCACAGACAGCGACGGCCACCTTGCAGCGGCCGGGACCTGGGTCAGCGGGGCTCACGGTGACAAGTCTCCCTGCAGCGGCCAACCCTGCGAGCAAGCCTGCCACCAGCTCTCCTGGGGGCTCCACTCCCAGCACCCCCACGGCGGCCGTTCTTCAGAACGTCGCAGGACAGAACATTATCAAGCAGGTACAAGAAGCCTCTCTGGGCGAGTCTGAGTACTTTGTCCAGAATCAGAGGACAGTTGGAGACCTTAGTGGTTTGTGACCTCTGACTCTGAGTTCATTTCTATTCAGGTGTGAGTTTCCAGCAAGGGCAGTGCAAGCTTGGGAGATCCTGATGCCGGAAAGGGTTTTCCGTTTCTTTCCATGAAATTCAGGATTTAGTAGCTGAGTCTTTGGATTTGGAGTCAACTTTTCACAGATTTGCTTACCTAAAAGCCTGTAGAATAGCTGGACAGGCATCGTTGGCATTTCACTTTCTATTTGTAGAAATAGAACACGTCTGTCTGTACTTTCATGGTGGTGTGTGCACGAAGATAACCGTTGAGCTGCAGGGACTGGTTGGGCAGAATCGCGCCGACTGCTGAGGGCAGGGCCTGCGCGGTGCTGAACGTGCTGTAGATCCTGAGAACTGTCGTTCTCATGACACCGCGGGGGCGCTACTTTCGTTATTCCCATTTTACTATGAAGAAGTGGAACCACTAACGATGAAGCAAAGTTATTTCTTCATCAAATGAAGGCTTCTTGAGTGCCTTCTGTGTCCCAGGCACTGTGCAGGGTGTGGGGTCAAGGGGTGTATCACACAGACCAGGTCCCTGCTGTCCCGAGGCTTGTAGTGTCACCTGTCACATGGGGGACAGGCAAGTACTTCCGGGTCGAGTTCTATAAGGCAGTGACAGTCAGTCAGCGGCGTGGTGAGGTCAAGGGTGATAGGCTGAGGTGGCGGCTGATGAGAGAAGGCCTGTCTGGGGACAGGCCTCATGAGCGAGGTGAGCGAAGCTGGGAAGCAGGCCATGCTATGCTTGGCCGGGCCCAGCCTCCCAGGCATGGGAATGGCACATGAGGAGGCCTCCATCAGGAGTGTGTGATGAACGACAGGAAAGCAGTTGGAAGCTCCTGAGCAAGTGTGAAGGTGTTAGAAGGCGAGGTTGCCAGCAGTTAAGTCAGGTCAGACTTTGCCTTTAATTTAGATGTGATGGGAGATGTGGAAAGATTGTGGGCTGGGATGACTTGACCTAGTTTTCACTTAAATTCCTGCTTGGGGAGGGAGCTGGGAGGGATGTTCAAGTGGAAGAGAACATAGGTAACTGTGGCTGATTGATGTTGATGTTTGATACAATCCAACATGATACTGTAAAGCAATTATCTTTCAATTAAAAATATATAAATTAAAAAAAAAGAAATCCCTACTTGCGCACCGTGGACGCTGGGAGCCCAGAGCAGAAGCAGGGAACCCACGTGGGCGGGGGTAGCAGCCATGTAGCTCCAGCATCAGGCATGTGTAGGGCGTGAAACGAGGCCTGAGAAGTGAGCACTCAGTGGACAGGGGTAGTGAGTGAACTTGACCAGAACACTGGGTCATGGATTTTGGGGAACAGGTTCACAATAGAATGTGAGGCGAGGCAGTGATAGGTAGCCTTGCTTTCGCTGAGAGCAGAGACCTGAGGCTGCAGGGGGATGTGGAGTAAGGCAGGGGTGGGCATGCTTTTGGTGGAGGGGGCAGCACTGTGACACTTGGTGGTCCAGCAGAGGTGGGGGGTGGCTCACTAGACACAGAGTTCCCAGCTAGGAGGGTCATACCTGTTGCATGTGGACATTGGCCGTAGGTCAGTAGGCGTGGTGTGAAAACCTGGGAAGTCTGGTCCCAGGGCTTATGCCCTTCAGCACCGAGCCTGGTGCTGCCTCAAAGTGGAGGTTGGCTCAGCCATAATTAGCTGTTTGAGACAGTAGGAGAGATGTGAGCATGTCTTATAATATTTACCAGGTAGTTATTAGATAAGAATAGATAGTTACTTTTAAATTTGGTTCTGGGCTATTTTATGTGAAGGCCTGGAGCAGCCTTGGCTACCCAGGGACGAGTGTGTTGATGAGCAAAATGATATTTACCGGTTTCCTTTAAAATATTTCGACTCCTCCCTCCCTCCACCCAGGCCCCTGAAGAGTGGGGAAAAGTAGATACTCGTGGCCATGTGGTGACTTCTGAAGCTGGTGGTACGTGAATTTGTTAGTCTGTTCTCTGCTTCGGTGACCGTCCTCCATTTTTCAAAATAAAAAGTTAGGAAGGTACAGGAAACACACATCTCTTGCAATGGAGGTCCCCAGCTTTCCCCTGAAACCCGTTGAGCCCCGAGAAGACCTGTGTCGCTGTGCTGCTTCCCCTGCAGGTGGCAATCACTGGGCAGCTTGGCGTGAAGCCCCAGACGGGCAGCAGCGTCCCCCTCACAGCCACCAACTTCCGGATCCAGGGCAAGGATGTGCTGCGTCTTCCGCCCTCCTCCATCACCACGGACGCCAAGGGCCAGACGGTGCTGCGCATCACCCCAGACATGATGGCCACTCTGGCCAAGTCCCAGGTCACCACAGTCAAACTGACCCAGGACCTCTTTGGGACGGGCGCCGGTGCCACGGGTAAAGGCATCTCGGCGACCCTCCATGTCACATCCAACCCTGTTCATGCCACTGACAGCCCTGCCAAGGCAGGTGTGGCTGCTGCCCCGTCGTCCACTCCGACAGGGACCACTGTGGTCAAAGTGACTCCTGATCTCAAGCCGGCGGAAGCCTCGAGTTCAGCTTTTCGCTTGATGCCAGCGCTCGGCGTGAGCGTGGCCGACCAGAAGGGGAAAAACACAGTGGCTTCATCGGAAGCAAAACCAGCTGCCACCATTCGTATTGTGCAGGGCCTGGGGGTGATGCCCCCCAAAGCAGGCCAGACCATCACAGTCGCAGCCCACACCAAGCAAGGGCCCTCAGTGGCCGGTGGGTCTGGAACTGTTCATACGTCGGCCGTGTCCTTGCCCAGTGTGAACGCTGCCGTGTCCAAGACTGTGGCTGTGGCTTCTGGGGCGGCCAGTGCCCCCATCAGCATCGGGACCGGAGCCCCTGCTGTGCGGCAGGTCCCAGTCAGCACCGCGGTCGTCTCCACATCACAGGCCGTGAGTAACTTCAGGGGTGCAGGCTGGAAGCCCAGTCTGTCTCCTCTTTTGACCCGGACAGGCTTATTCACTAAATGACTCTTGTTTAGTTCTGAAACACATTTACGAAAGTGTGGCACAGGCAGTAGTTCCCATAACAGCAAAGCAGCGTGGAGGTGCATGGAGTAAATACGAGCTTTCTCTTCCCACCCTCTGGTTCCTCTTTCATGAGGTTCATCACTAGTGGTGTTTTGCCATTTATCCTCCAAGTCCTTTTTCTGAGCGTTTTCATACATATGTACAATTTTAAGATTCCTATGAGAAACCTCAGTCTATGTATTGTTCTGTTATTTGCTTTGTTCATTTAAAAGTACGTCTTGGGGGTTGTTCCAGATTCTACGCAGAGACTGTGCCCTTTTAGTGACATCGCTGTCCCTTGTTAACACCGGTGCTACGTGGCCTGTTTGTGTGTGTGAACACGGGGCAGTGTTTCAGGAGTGGAGGTTCCTGGAGTGGGTCAGGGAGGTACGCTTCAAACATTTTGACACTCCCGCTGTGCTCAGAAAGACCACACCAGCTTACGCTCCATCAGCTAGCCTTCTGTTTCCCTTATCCCCTGACTAGCACTTGAGAGCCTGTTCTGTAAATCTTTATGTCCCCGTCTTACTGGTGAAGAGAGTTCTTTTTCTCTCTTCCTCGTCTTTGGTGGGGATGGGCGTCCCTTCGTTGGGGGGCTGGTGAGGGCTCTCCAGGGGTGAATGGGATCTTTGCCATTGTTTTTCTGGGGTGTTTTTCTGGTATTTCCATGTTGTGTGAGTTTCTACCAACCTTTATATTTCCCACATATTAGTTCTTATATGTGTGGAAAATATTTTCTTCTAGTCTGTCATTTTTTAACCTTGCATATGAAGCCTTTTTGCTCTGCAGGTATTTTATCTGACTAGATCATCAGCATTTTCCTGCTCCTAGGTTTCACTGTCTTATGCCTTAGCCCAGGGTTATGAAGATGTCGGTTCTCATGTTCATAAAATATTTTTAGAGTTTAAAAAAAGTATAATGGATAAATCTACTTGAAATGTATTTCTGTGAATGTCATGTGTGATAGAGCTCATCTTACACTTTTCACATTATTCCAGCATCATCGATTAGTATGTCTCTTCCCAACTAATTTGAGATACTACCCTTACCATAAACCAGATTCCTGTATCAACAGGTGTGTTTTGGGGTGCAGGTGTTTATTCTTTAGCCTCCAGGTAAGGGGCACTGTTCTGTATGGTGGGTGCATCTTGACAGTACAGAACACAGTCTGACTTCCCTAAGTAAGCCGTATAGTAAAACCTCACCAATTAGGATAAAATCCAGAGCGATGGGGAGAGGAGGACCAATATGGTAAAGCCAGCCAACCAACCCTAAAGTGCAGCGTGGCTTTAAAGGAGATGTTTGTTCAGGTTCTCACATCAGAGAATTAAGCAACAAGGTGCTCACTTGATCACTTTTCTCTTGAGTCCTTCTGACACAGGTGTGTCCCACGGCATCCAGTTTGTGGTCATCAGCCGGGGTGACTGTAAGCGGAGAGCTCCGGATGGGCAGGCAGGTTGAGGGGTGGTGCCTAGGCAGCTGGGTCCCTAGCTCATAGAGGGTCGCTCGGTCGGTGGGTGCTGCTCTGAAGTCTCCCCAGCACTGGGCTTCTTAAGACAGCAGTGCAGCCCCAGTCGATTCCCTGAAGGCAGCGCCTGGCCGTGTTCTCTGGCCTGCTGGCATTGTTCCGTGCTTTCTAAGGGGCTGCATGCAGTTGGGTCATTCGGAGATCAGTGTCTTGCCCGGGAGACAGGTTTCCTCCTGAGTGCCTGGCTCCTGTAGAATCAGCTTGCCTGTAGGAAATATTGATTCCTTTTCTTTGCATCTTGTCAACTGCTCCTCTCGAGTTATTTTTTTCAAGTCAGATTTACACAAGATTTTACCGTATATAAACTTTATCAACCAAAGGTTAAAACCAGCAACCTAAAAACTGGTGGCCGTAGTGACCTACGCCGACCACCCTGAAGTCCCAGACACGCCAGGCGTGTCCTAGCCCCCTCTGCGCTCCTCCCACACTCTTCACTGCGGGGTGCACGTCTCTCTTGGGTGAGGTTAGTATCAGTGTCCACAGCTCACCTCCCTCATCTCTGGGAGGAGCAGCACCCAGGAATGTGCCCTGCTGTGCGCTCACCTGTTCCGCACCTAACCGTGCCAGCTCCTGATCACCTCTGTCCCGGCTCGGGTCCTCTGCCCGGCCGCCTGTGCCAAGTGTCAGGGAGCCTCCCCTCTGGGAGCCCTGACTGCTGTGTTGAAGGGAACACACGCTTTCCCTTGTGGCTCAGGAGCACGTTTTATCCTGATGGCCGCAGGTGCACTCTGCTGCTCTGATTCGGCAGGACGGAGGAGGCTCACAGACAGATGACCCCTCGGTAGAACGCGTGAACCCTCATCTGGACCCCAGCTGTAGGAGCACTGGGCCCCGCAGAGAAGCCCCCGGCTCCTGCGGCCCCTGGGTGACGCTGGGTGGTGGTCCTTGCCTCCTCCTTCCGATAAACCTGCTTCTTTTTCTCTGTAGGGGAAGCTGCCTACACGGATCACAGTTCCGCTGTCTGTCATCAGCCAGCCCATGAAGGGCAAGAGTGTGGTCACAGCCCCCATCATCAAAGGCAACCTGGGGGCCAAGTAAGTGCTGTGGGGAATGGGGGAGGCAGTGCTGGGGGCTCCTGGACACGAGGGTGTGGGGAAGGCGGCTGGTTTCCTGGGCTCTTTCATTGTGCTTGACAGTGTCTGAAGCACCCACAGTTGTTCCAGGTGCTGGGGATAAAGTGAGGTCACTGCTGCCATCAGGCTCATTCTGTAGGAACAGTGAACTGACCTCGTCTCTGGGGACAGAGCAAGGGACCGACAGGGCTTACTGGGTGGAGAGGGCGGTGACCGGCGTGCTGTCAGGGAAGCTCCCCTTGAAGTGAGACCCTAGGGTGTGATGGCGCAGACGGCGAGGGCCTCCCTGGGTCAGGCCTTTGTTGCTCTGACTTGACAAGAGTGAAGGCGAAGGCAGGAGTCTGGGTCTCAGGGCAGCTGCCCTGGGGCCGGGTTTCTGGCTGGGAGCTCACGCCTCCCGACACCCATCCTGACCCCGGCCGGGCACCGAGTAGACGTAGAGCCTTTTGATCCAGAGCACCAGGGGCCTTTGTCTGACATGGGAGTGTGGCAGCTGGAAGAAGGGGGGGATCTCTGACTGGGGTCCTGTCAGTCCAGGGCTGGGGTCCCCGGGCCTGGGCCTGGCCTCACGCCTTTTCCCCACAGCCTCGGTGGGTTGGGCCGCAACATCATCCTCACTACCATGCCGGCGGGCGCGAAGCTCATCGCGGGCAACAAGCCGGTCAGCTTCCTCACGGCCCAGCAGCTGCAGCAGCTCCAGCAGCAGGGTCAGGCCACGCAGGTGAGGCCCAGGGCCCTGGCGGGGCTTGGGCCGCTCCCTTCCCCACGCGCTCATCCTCGCTGCGGGCCGCTGGCCATCTGCCCACCCGACGCTCTTTCTGTGAACAGGTGCGCATCCAGACAGTCCCCGCGTCCCACCTCCAGCAGGGAACAGCCTCCGGTTCCTCCAAGGCCGTCTCCACTGTCGTCGTGACCACGGCCCCGTCTCCTAAGCAGGCGCCCGAGCAGCAGTGATTCTCAGGAAGACGTTCGGCGGCTGGACGCCACGCCAGTCGGCCTTCAGGCTGGGACGGCAGGAGCGTGGTGGCTGCCTCGCCCCCCTCCACCTGGCTGGGTGGGTGTCTGTCTGAGGAAGGCCAGCAGCAGGACGCTGGCCGCTCAGCTGCGCTCCGCGGGGAGTGGGCTGCGCCAGGTGTCCTGGGCCCGCGGGCTCTGTCGTGTCTGGTCCAGGAGAAGTGTCTCTGGTGGGGGTGTGTGAACTCATCGTGGTCACACGAGCCCAGCTCTCCCGAGAGGAGACACTGGAGACGGGTTGATGTCACAGGTATGTGGGTGGTGAGCGAGACTTGTTCTGTGCAGGGATTGTGTTTACCCTGGTCTTGTGTGTGATTGGTGGTCTGGGTCGGTGTTCTGTGTCCAGATATTTTTATGTAACATTTTTTGCAAAAAGCTGTGTACATCTCTATCAAGTAGAAACCTGGGCTTAGACATGCCCCCACCCCCAAAAACGCGTCTTAAGTTGCTTCAGTAGTGTCCGACTCTTTGCAGCCCTATGGACTGCAGTAAGCCAGGCTCCTCTGTCCATGGAATTCTCCAGGCAAGAATACTGGAGTGGGTTGCCATTTCCTTGTCCAGGGGATCTTCCTGACCCAGGGATCGAACCCAGGTCTCCTGCATTGCAGGCAGATTTACTTCATTTTTTGACAAGAGTGAAAGAACAGCAAGATTCTTAGTAAGTTAGTGGCTTACTTGATAGCTGCCTGGTAACAGAGTGGCCATGAGGTGGGGCGAAACATGGGCAGTGAGGTCATGTGGGGTCCCAGAAGTGGAATTAGTGTGGTAGCTCTGCTTAAAGACAGGCAGTCAGGATCTTGACTGTGGTCCACCGTTCAACTGCTGACTCTGTCCTCCTTGTCAAGCCTGTCTACATATACGTCCAGAGCCAGTGGACAGAGCAGGCAGAGGCCAGGATACATAACTGCTTTCGCAGCACAAGCTTTATTGTGGTTCAGAGATAATACATTTTGCTTTGCTCCAGAGCAAGAGTCAGCAAACCTTGCTCCTTGGGCTGGCTACCTGGTTTTGTAAATAAAGTTTTACTGGAACATAGCCCACACCCATTCACTTAGGTATGGTCTGTGGATGCTTCCAGTTAGAAGGCAGGACTCAGTAGTCACAGAGACTGCACAGCCTCAAGTCCAAAAAATTTCCTACATGACCCATTGAGTAGAACTTTGCTGCTTCTGCACCAGAATATGGTGGGGCTGGGGGGTATGTGGCCACGAGGCAGCACCAGCTGCAGAGGAGATGGGTCTGGCTTATTGTCATTAGCTCCTGACTGTTCACGGATCTCAGTCTCCACTGAGCCATAGGCAGAGCTCAGAATGCTGTTTTAAAATATAATTAAAACCATTGGTTGTCAACAATATGTGCCTCTTTCATATTGGAATGGGTGTTGGGTGGTAAAGCTTTTCTGCAGTCATGGGGCTTTCCTGTCTCTCAGGAAAGTATCTGGGTTATTAAGAATGTTTTCCTCACCCATGAAAGTTCAGTGACAATCTTTGACGGGGTCAGGGTGAGGAAGTGGAGTTGGAGGGCACAGAAGTGGAATGGCATCTTTGGGAGGGTTTTCTGGGTGGAAGTTGAGTTATCAGGCAAGTTGCAGTGGTGCAGAGAAAGTTAGAGCAGCTCACTGGACACAAAGACGTTTGATTCCTAAAGCAGATCTGTGAAACAGACGCAGTCATCCCTCTTTTAACTGAGAGAATCTGTGTCTGAGTTGAGGTTAGAGAGAACCAAGATGTGAGTGCAGTCTTCTGGTTGTAGGTCAAGCGCCCTCTTCGCTGCCTTCCTGCTGGGGAGTGATGTGTTCTGGTGAGACCTGGTGGCCGCCCCGAGCCAGGAGGGGTGAACCTGGGGGCCAGATTGCAGGGGTGAATGTGCGTGGCGGGATGGAGCTCTTGATGGGTGGTGGAGGGCTGGCGCAGAGAGGAGGTTGGTGATGGGTGGTGGAGGGCTGGCGCAGAGAGGAGGTTGGTGGTGGGTGGTGGAGGGCTGGCACAGAGAGGAGGTTGGTGATGGGTGGTGGAGGGCTGGCGCAGAGAGGAGGTTGGTGGTGGGTGGTGGAGGGCTGGCACAGAGGGGAGGTTGGTGATGGGTGGTGGAGGGCTGGTGCAGAGAGGAGGTGGGTGGTGGGTGGTGGAGGGCTGGCACAGAGGGGAGGTTGGTGATGGGTGGTGGAGGGCTGGCGCAGAGAGGAGGAGGGTGGTGGAGGGCTGGCGCAGAGAGGAGGTTGGTTGGTGGGTGGTAGAGGGCTGGCGCAGAGGGGAGGTTGGTGGTGGGTGGTGGAGGGCTGGCACAGAGAGGAGGTTGGTGATGGGTGGTGGAGGGCTGGCGCAGAGAGGAGGTTGGTGGTGGGTGGTGGAGGGCTGGCACAGAGGGGAGGTTGGTGATGGGTGGTGGAGGGCTGGTGCAGAGAGGAGGTGGGTGGTGGGTGGTGGAGGGCTGGCACAGAGGGGAGGTTGGTGATGGGTGGTGGAGGGCTGGCGCAGAGAGGAGGAGGGTGGTGGAGGGCTGGCACAGAGAGGAGGTTGGTTGGTGGGTGGTAGAGGGCTGGCGCAGAGGGGAGGTTGATGATGGGTGGTGGAGGGCTGGCGCAGAGAGGAGGTGGGTGGTGGAGGGCTGGCGCAGAGAGGAGGTTGGTTGGTGTGTGGTGGAGGGCTGGCGCAGAGGGGAGGTTGGTGATGGGTGGTGGAGGGCTGGCGCAGAGAGGAGGCTGGTGATGGGTGGTGGAGGGCTGGCACAGAGGGGAGGTTGGTGATGGGGAGAGGTGGAGGCTGCAGGGAGGGAAAACAGCCTCTGAGCTGAGGGAAGGAGGGTGTGTCCACATGGTGTCACTCCCTGTAGCACGTTGCACATGGAAACCCCGGGTCCTGGTTTCCGGGTGAGAAAGAGGCAGTAATTTGAGGAATCCTGGCTCTGGTATTTACTGCTGGTTAAAACAAACCCCTTCTGAATTTACTTAACAAATGATTTAATGACGTGTCCAGCCTCAACCCTCACCCCTACTTTTTGCTGAAGTCACCTGACTCAGTGACTGTCTCCTTGGTGCCCACAGACACTTACATCCTAGCAGACAGGTTTTTTTCTGAACCCTGGTGATGTGTGACCTGGTGCTACCTGCCCAGCCTGTCTGTGGGTCCCTGGGGTGGCAGCCCCTGCTCCCCCCAAGCTGCTCGAGTGACGCTGCCAGCACAGGCACCAGCTCTGGCTGCTTCTGGGCAGCCCTAAGGGGTCTTATAGAGACATGGGAACTATCGTGGGGGTTTGGGGGGAACAAATCCAGAAGAATTTGGTTCAGAGGCTGGTGTAAGTATTCGGATCACATATCTGAGACTAGATTTGGTACAGGGCATCGTGATGGGTTGGTACTTCATCACACACACCTCCGTGAAGGTGTCTCAACCTGTGCTGTGCAGAGGGTGTCAAAACAAGTTTTAGCATTTGTGTGTGACCCTCAACACCTCGATCCCTCACTTTGGAGAAAATGCTGCAGTTTCCTAAAGTGTTCTGTCCCCTCCCAGTGAAAGGAAGACTGGGACTAGGTTCTTTCTTCTCATCTCCAGTCCCTGAGGAAAGAACATGTTTTACATTAATTACCAGTAATAGAACTTGCTTCATTCAGGACTTGCCCAGTGAACGTTTGGGTTCCTACTTAGCAGGCAGACCAAAGTGAATCCTGAAAGGGAATCCATGGGTTCTCCTCTCAGAATTCAGTCAGTGTCTCCAGGTAGCGCGTTCTTAATCCCTGAGGTGTGACTTCAGCCCTGAGCCGCTGGCTCACCCTGGGAGGCTGGTTGCCTGTCATGTAAGTATAGCATTCCTTCCGCAGAGCATCTGCGCTTCACACAAATGGCCTCTGCCGGGTTGGTGTGCAGTAGTGGAGGGTGCAGCACGGAGGAGCTGGCCTCTCAGTCTTGCTGAGGACTGCCTTAGGGGCTTAGTGACTTTGTGGCCTTAGGCTAGTTCTGTTCCATGAAGTGCCCCATGTGCTTGCAGTGCAGGCAGTTGTGAGAACCTCACGAGATTGAGTGCATTTCGAGGCCTGGGAAATCCTGTATGAATGAGTGGCACTGTGGGTCCACATGGCTTTTCACGTCTGTCCTAACCCACTCTTAGAGACGCTGATTAACTCCACATTGTCTTCACTGGAGAGTTCATAGCTGGATTCTCACTACCTGGGATGTGCTTTTCTACAGGGCACCCCCCACCCCCCCCCCCCGCCTTCTCCCCTCCTTCATGTCCTGGGGACACCAGTCACCCTGCATGGAACTGCTTATAGCTCTCCCTTTAGGCTGAATTCGATGCTGGACACATATTTTATAATCCTTAACAACCATTGCTGTGCTGGTGCAAAGTAAATCTTTAATAAATATTTGTTGAAGGAAGTTTAAAAAAGAAAAAAAGATCCAGAATTAAGACTTGCATATCCAGTGTTTGTTACTTATTCAAGATTCACATTCTTTGAAGGATTTGCAGGATTCTTATCCTTTGCTTTCAGCTATATTTAAATTCAAGGCCTCCCTTGACCTGACATTTCTCTCTGCCTCATGGAGATCTCTCAGCACCCTGTCATTAGGTACTTATGAGGAGTAAGAACATCTGAGTTCAGCCCTCAGCTGGACCAGACTGGCTTCCTGGTTAAATACAAAGTCACTTTGGCTCAACCTCGTTGTTTATCAACAGTGAGTGTTAATACAATCTTCTGGAGTATTAGGATTAGTTAGGAGATGCTTAACAAGTAATACTTAAAATACCAAAGCTTGTATATTATTTTACTTAAATTAGAATTGTCTCTCTAAAGGTTCTGTCATTGACTTGATTTCTGATAGGAAAGTACCTGCCGCATTTGAGAGAAACGGGGCTAAATTATCAAAACAGTAAATTCTTCTGCGTTTGTATCCTGAGTTCATCCAGGAGGTCACTTTCTGTTCTAAAACTTTCAGTCTGATTTCTCCTTATTCTGAGACACACATAAAGGTTGACTTCATTTTTCTAGACAGAATAGCACACCCACACGGACCTTAGTTGGTTAAGCGAGAAGGTGGGACCCTGGGAGCAGATCACAGTGAGGGCAGCAGCGGAGGCAGGGAGCTGGCCCGCTGACCGCTGGCCGAGCGCCTCCAGGACACGCCACCCTCCGCCGCTGACCGGGAGCCGCCCCTACTCCTCGTCTGAGCCACTCAGGAGGGCCTTCCGGTATGTGTGATCCGACCTCAGCTTCTGAATCCCGATGACTTCCCTGTCTTCCCGCCTCTTCACCTGCGTCAGGAAGCTGTAACGGGGACAGCAAGGGCAGACGGGTGAGCCCCCCGGTTGACACATTCCCTCACCCAGGGATGCAGAGGCATTCCCTGGCTCTCAGGGCGTTCTCGCTGTCTCTTTCAAATACTCCCTTCTGGCTGCTTAGACAGGACTCTCTGGTAGATGAAGGGCCTCACGGTCAGTAGTACTTAAAGGTTAGTGTTGTAACTGAGACTGGACCTCGGTCTCCCCCCACCCCCAGGTAATCATTTCACAGACTGGGCAGTAGAACTAAAAGGAACCATGGCCTGTTTGCCTGCTGTTTAATGTGTGTGGAACTCTCTGGGTGAAGCATCTCTGCATTGGGTAGGGAAATCAGGAGAGAACGAGGCATCTCTGACAACACAGAACTAGTAGGACCAGGTGCATGGTGGTTAGACTTGGGCTCTGCTGTTTACTCCTGGGGTGACCTTGACCCAGTTACCCAGTCTTGCGAAGCCTTGGTTTCCCCAGCTACAGACATCACGTGCATCCTTCGCAGGGGAGTGTGAAGCGAGGTGATTTATACACTAAGTGTAAACACAGTGCCGGGGCACAGGCAGTGCCTGGCACTCAGAGCTGCTCTCATGACCTAGAGTGCTGTAGTGAGCGCCTGCTGCTGTCGTGTCTCACCTAAGGGTCACGTGTGCCTGGACCCAGCACTTTAGGTGATGGGCTCCGAGTGAACCAGGACAGAGTCCTGATGCAGAGCTGCTCCTGTCAAACCTCTGACCGAAACCCACCAGAACTGCCTTCAAAACCTGGGTCTGTCTGATCTCTGTGACTCGAGAGGTCCTTTGCCTTCTCAGATTTCATCACTTTCGTGTGCAGGCACACAGAAGTAGGCACATGGCTGGCCCTCATCACGTGGTGGATGTTTGCACTGCCCACTTAGGAGAGGTGGTCACTGGAGATAAGAACAGTGTGGGGTGATACATTTCCAGGACAGGGCTGGTGAGGAAGACACACTTGACAAGAGTCACCTCCTCTTGGACCTACCAGTAAACTAGCGAGTAGCTGGCAGCCACAATGCAGAGTGCGGCCAGGTAGTGCCAGCAGAAGCACATGGTGACGAACATGATGTTGTCATGATTGTTCTGGTCCCATTCAGGGCCTCCAAAAGGCGGGAACAGCACGAACCCAATCTGGCGGATTAAAACAGAGGAGCCAGCCTTGCCGTTATGCTGGTTGGACCCGCGAAGCCCCCACGCCCGCCAGAATATTCGCAGTTACCCAGACAGCTCACACCCCACCCCACTGCTGGTGTTGAGCGGCCTCTCTGCAGGGAATCGCTCTGTTATCTCTGGGATCATTGTGGCCTTGCTTAAAGTTTCAGGGCCCACGTTGCAGATGAGCAGTCTAGCAAGGAGAGTCTGATAACGGTATTAGTAGCTCTGCTGGGAAGGTGGGTCAGGGACAGCCTCGGCCTGCTCGCTTACTGATGTGTCAGCAGGATGTGGATGGCTAAGGTCACACAGGTCATGGGCGGCGGGCAGAAAAGAGGCCCTTCGCATGGTGCATCAGTGCCGCCTCTCCTGGCCTGCTCCGCACACCTGCTTCATCCTGGCTCACACCAGGTGAGGAGCGTGGGTTTACCTGCCAGAACCAGGTGCCCTGAAGGAGGAGGAGGCTGGTGCGGAAGAGTTCCAGCACGATGTTGTCCCGAAGGACTACCTCCACGGCGAGGCCGAGGGCGCCTCCGAATACAGCACACAGCAGCAGGGAGTGGATGTGCTGGTCCAGCGGCGGCCGGTTGTGCACATGGTAGTAGAAGAGGAAGCCTGAGCGGAGCAGAGGACCATCAGGCCCGAGGGTCCTCTCCCGACCTCAGCCTTGCTGGGAGGTGTCTGTGTGAAAGCTGGATCTTCCAGCACTCAGGAAGTCCGTTCACGTAACGCTCGGGGGCAACACTCTGATGCAGGGTGTGTGTGCGTGTAAGTGTGTAAGCAGCACAGGATGAATCTTAACACCTCTTCACCGAGATGGTAGGGTACAATACAGGTCGGTGAGATGTTGCTGATGTGTGACAAATGTCTGTGTATAACTGAAATTCAGTCTTACCCTCCTTCAGCCTTTATTCAGTCCTTCCTGCAGTACAGAAGCAGATGAAGGGGATGGATCACGACATGCTTGCGTTTTCCCAGTTAACATGAGTTACACTGGGAGCTGTGTGCTGGCTGCTGGTGGGCCTTCTGCTGGAGCCAGACAGTGACTGCGCCGCATCAGGGTGAGGTGCAGAGCCCTTCTCCCCTAACCAGAGGGTCACCCCCTTGCCTGATGGTGTGTGGAGAGGCCACGTAGGTGGGCAGGAGTCGTCTGTGCCTAGCGTGCTAAGTTGCTTCAGTCCTGTCCAACGCTGCGACCCCATGGACTGTAGCCTGCCAGGCTCCTCCATCCATGGGATTCTCCAGGCAAGAATACTGGAGTGGATTGCCATTTCCTTCTCCAGGGGATCTTCCTGACCCAGGGATCGAAGCTGCATCCCTTGCATCTCCTGCATTAGCTGGAGGGTTCTTTACCACTAACATCACCTGACTTTGGCTAAAAATCCCATACTCCTCCTGCACTACTTTATGAAGTCTATCATTTGTACCATCCAGGACACAGGATCAGGTCCTGTGTAGGGTTTTCAAGTTCAGAGAGTGGGATTTTCTGGGGAAGGTAACTAAAGTCTCAATATTTCTGATCTTTTGTGCTCCAGTCCCTCTAAATCTCCATCCATACCACTTCGTTACCTTCATTGAAGGCAGCCAGAGCCATAACCAGTCTGTCCAGCCCCAGGGGGACGTGGGTGATGAGGTAGGTCAGCATGTCCACGATGCCCGAGACTGCGAAGAACAGATACATGGTGCTGTGCTGCCAGTTCATGAGTTTTACCCAGTGGTCCTCGTGGTACAGGTGGAGGTGGGGCCCGTCAGGAACAAACTGCTCTGCCAGTATCCCTGCAGGGAAACGAGAATGGAGGTCAGGGAGGGGAGAACCACTCCAGGACCAACAGATGGCCAAGTGACCCCCAGGGACAGGTGGGGGTGGCCACAGCCCTGTAGACCCATGTCGCTGCCTCAGATGCCATTATTTCCATGTAAGCTATTTGCCAAGAAATCTGCAGACACATGCCTGTGTTGTTCCTTAGGGGGACAAGAGCAATAGGAATGCAGCCACACAACTACAGCCCATGGGGTCGCAAAAGAGTCAGACACAACTTAGCGACTAAACAACCAACAGCAAAGGTGCTATCAACCGTCAGCCTACCAAAGCTTGGTACACAGTGGATGCTATGGTAGGATATTTAGCGCCCAACTGAAAATTCTCTGTTACCCCTACTGGTGGAGAAACTTGTTTCACAGGGTCCAGGAGATGGCTTACGGGTTCTGGGTTTGATGAGAATTCCCTGAGTCAGATGACCCCCAACCTTACCGATGACTGAAAACAAAGTTCTGATTGCAGCTTCGATGATCTCGAGACGCTGGTAGTGATGGGTCAGTTGGTTGCTCTTCTCCTTTTGATAAAAGTACTTCAGTGGGTGTTTCACCGACCACCACAGTCCAACTATCAAGAAGAAGCTCCCAGGGAGCGCATGGCCCTTGAAGTTCGCCATCAAGTCCCAGGACACCTAAAGAGTAAGGCGACAGCTGTTAGGTGGCTGAATGAAGACATAAATAGTTTCTGTAGGAAACATGATCCACGACTGAGGCTTCCGAGTTGTAAGCTGTAGTAAAAAAGAGCCCCTCCTTGTCATAGAACAAACCTGTGTTATATCACTGAAGTCTTATCTGTTCAGTGAGTTAACAAGCCCAGGAGAATACACTAGCTCTGAGGCTTTTTTTTTTTTTTAAGTGAAACTGTTGGTTGCCCAGTCATGTCTGACTCTTTGCGATCCCATGGACTACAGGCCGCCAAGCTCCTCTGTCCATGGGATTTCGCAGGCAGAAATACTGGAGTGGGTAGCCTTTCCCTTCTCCAGGGGATCGTCCTAAACCAGGGATCAAACCTGGGTCTCTTGCAATGCAGGTAAATTCTTTACCATCTGAGTCACCAGGGAAGTCCAAGGCTTTAAAAGAATGGGTAAAATAAAAGGGTTGGGGGGCTTTGCTGTTGGTCCAGTGGCAAAGACCCCGAGCTCCCAGTGCAAGGGCCCAGGTTCCATCCCTGGTCAGGGAACTAGATCCCACATGCTGCAACTAAGAGTTTGCATGTCGCATCTAGAAAATCAGTGCTGCAGCTAAGATCAGGAGCAGCTAAATTTTTTTTTTTTTTATTGAACGGAGGAAACAGAGGATGGGTAAATATTTCCTGATCTTAGAATAGAAAAACCTTCCTAAACATAAGGGTAAAAGAGGGACTTCAAAAAGAGAAAGTCACCTGCATAAGCATCTTACATATGAAACAATCAGAAGGCAAACCGTTCAGGAAGATGTCTGCAGGAGCTGTGATAAATGGCTATTCTGCTATGGAGCTGTTATACATTATTAAGGAAAAGACCACAGAATGGGCAAAAGACGTGAATGGGAATGCTAATTGATAATACTGTAAAGATGTTCTGTTGAAAATACTGTTTTTTCACCTAATTTGAAAAATTAAGGTTTTTTTATACCCCTCTAAGTATAAGGTCATTCAAATTTGCTAAAATGACAAAGCCTGTCATTCAGCCAGAGATATGCAGAGAGCTTTATCTCACCTATTCTGTGACTCATTTCTAGGGTTTTCCCTGTTAAATTCCTGGTTGGCCTGCTGCTTAGGCAGCTGGGGCTGTGACTGCAGGCTAGCAAAGCTGTGCATTTATTTCCCCTGCTCACTGCCCAGCATTCGTTCCCATGTTTACGCCATGAAGCCAAACTTTGCTTAGCCTGCCCCCATCACTGTCAGGAGCTGTGTCTGTACAGGCAGCTGAGGGACTTGTTTTCACGGCCAGCACCACCATGGGTAAAATTCCTGGACTGAGGGGGATTTCCCTGTAAACCAGTGGTTAATATTTACTTGGGGTGTGATCCCTGGTCAGAGAGCTAGGATCCCACATGCTATGTGGCCAAAAAACTAAAACAGAAACAATATTGTAACAAATTCAATAAAAGCTTAAAAAAAAAAAGGTCAACATTAAAAAAAAATCTTAGTCATGTGGACTGAGTCGGGGGGACCCCATTAGTGTGGGGACTCCATTAGTGGAGCCAGAAGGCCACTGTCTCCCACCATTCTTACCTGAAGATCTAAATCGTTTCTTAATAAATGCTGCTGGTGAGAGTCTAGCTGAGCTCCATAACATCGCTGCCTCAGCACCTTTTGTGTGGCAGGTGGCCTGCAGGGGCTTTGAACTGACACTAACCTCTTATGAGCATGCCCGTGAAACAGCTGCTGAGTCACAGTGATAAACAATCTGACGTCCCAGGGCCTTCCCCACAGTGTACCCCTCGGATGAGAAGCCTGCAAAGCATACCCAAACCCTGCTCTTTTTGGTCTGAATTGACCAAAATTCAAAATTGGCTTCCCTGGGAACCCTGAAACAGTCCATCTGTGGACCCTAGTAAGGGTGTGTGTCCGCAGTCCTGCTCCTTCTGCCTGCGCACTGCCTTGTCCTCCTCCCACCCTGCCCCCCACAATGGGCTCATCCAGGTCCTGTGGGTAACCAGTTTTTCTATTTCAGTTCTCTTGTAGGCTTTTGTCAACAGGCTTACCATGTGGCATTCCAGGACCCTATTTAACAAGTACCTTAACAGTCACCACAGCTTCTCCATTTATTGTCTACCTTGGCCAATTTCCAGTTCCTTGAAATAGGTGGTTTTGGTAACTTTGTCTAGTGGTATGCTTATTGCGGAGGGGGAGGGGGGCAGGGGCTGCAGAAAGGAATTGCCTATCCATGCCATTACTGGAAGGCCCCCTTCTCATTCTTTATTAATCCTCTACTGGAAAACATTTTTCAAAATTTATATTTTCATGTCATGGTTAACCCTGTTCCTCTCCTGATCAAGCCTGTGACACTCCTTTGCTTTCCTAATAAGAGCACAGAAAGCCACCTTTGCAAATCCTCCTTGCCCTTCCCCATTTTTCTGAAAAGCAGAACCCTAAATGGAAACAGCCCTTGTCTGCTTGAGTGGTGTCCGCCCAGTTTGTCCAGCCTCACCCTTCCCATCTACCTGTTTCAAAATTCACACCAATGGATCCTAGGACCTGCACCTTGTCTGGAGAAACCAGTTTTAACTTCCTGTGTACTTCTTGGAAGGCCAAGTATCCTGATTTGACAGGGGAGAGGAGCAGGGGAAGTTTCTTCCATTAACAAATCAATAAGTTATTGCCAACAAAGACCCACTGTATATAGCACAGGGACCTCTGCTCGATATTATGTAACAACCTAAATGGGAAAAAGAGTTTGAAAAAGAATAGGACATGTGTATACATAACTGAATCACTTTGCTGTATATCTGAAACAATCACAACATTGTAAATCAACTATGCTCCAATATAAAATAAAAAGTTTAAAAAGCACAAATTAATAGGTTGTTGTTCAGTCATTGAGTCATGTCCAACTCTCTTTGCAACTACCTGGACTACAGCCCACCAGGCTCCTCTGTCCATTTGATTTCCCAGGCAAGAATACTGGAATGGGTTGCCATTTCCTTCTCCAGGGGATTTCGCAACCCTGGGATTGAACACGTCTCCTGCATTGGCAGGCAGATTCTTTACCACTGAGTCACCTGGGAAGCCCAACAGGTTATTCGATTATCGACATTATAGATTGTCTAGAGAGTGAAGATGGGTCCAGTCTTGAAAAAGAGGAAATAAAGTAATTTCAAACAACAGTAAAAATGTAGACTTCCAATAATTTGTACAATAGTAAACATTTAAGGGGTGAGGGTCCTTGAATACACAGAATCCTGTAAAATACTTCAATCTAAGGAAAGGCTATAGATAGGAAAACATTAGAAAGTGGTTCCACAGAGATGGAACCTGATAGCTCAGTTGGTAAAGAATCTGCTTCCAATGCGGGAGACCTGGGTTCCATTCCTGGGTTGGGAAGATCCCCTGGAGAAGGGAAAGGCTACCCACTCCAGTATTCTGGCCTGGAGAATTCCATGGACTGTAAAGTCCGCGGGGGTGGCAAAGAGGCGGACATGACTGAGCAACTTTCACTTTATTTCCGCAAAGACAAATTTCCTTGCTTTTAATATGTTTATCCTCTTTTGATATCACATGAGATAAAATGGGAGTATGAAGGGAGGGTTAAATGTTTTGAGGGATAGTAGCTTTGAACTAAGGCTGGAAATCAAGAAGGCTAGAGGTCTGGGCAACTTTTCATGCGGAGATCACTGGAAATGGAACATTAAGGCTTCATCTCTTTCCTTATACTCCCAGTTTTTAACCACCCCCCAACCCCCAATCTGTATTCCTTCTTTCTCATTTAAGGTAATTGAAATGTAAGACAAGGTACAAGTCAAAAGAAGAGAAGGAGGTGAGGGCGGGGAAGAGTCGGGAGCGAGGAAAGGAGAGTCCTAGGAGTAGGGGAGGTGGTGCAGAGGAAAGGAGAAGCCATGGGTGTCGCCATTTGCCTGTAGTTAATACGGTGCCTCTTAAATCCAGTGCTTCCCTCTATTTTAGATGGGGAAAGTAGGAACTGTGAAGGAAAGGGTGTATGGAGGTGAGTGAGAGGATCAGAAAAAGAAACAGGAAAACTGAATTTCATTTTCTTTCTCAAAATTAGCAGAATCTAGGACTTGGCATCCACAGCAAGGGGAGCATTAAAGCCAATTTCGTCAAATTTGTGGTGACAGGATACAGATGCGTAGACTACCACCTGTCACATTCTGGACCTCTGCTTCACCATGGGATAGTCTTCACCGTGGAATGTTATATGACCACTATCAAGAATGAATTAGTGTTAATGCCTATTCTTCTGTGAGGCTTTCCATGAGGTTCTATTGACGGAGATGTGGAAGATGGAAAAGACCACTTATAATACAATCCTATTTTATGTAGCACTGAACGTCCCAGGTATTTGTATACACGTGTACGGGTATGTGGTTGCAGGAACAGGGAAAACAACATGGAAGATAACTTGAGAGTATATCATGCTGTTCATTAAGCATTTCTGGCTGTCCCCTGGGCACATGGTATGGTTTCTTTATTATTTTGCATATCTAGTTATCCCTGCTATTTGTTGAAAAGACTTTTCTTTCCCCCACTGAATTGTCTTGGTGCCCTTATCTCCTTTTTATTCTTGAAAATGGATTTCATCAATCTTCAGGGGAGGGCTTTGCCTACAATAAGGTCAGACTGTGCTGAAGAAGGGTAATTTAGCTATTATGTGACACATAAATTATGTGACACATAATTTATGTGACACATAAATTAACTATTCTAATACAGTGTTGTGACAATAAAGGGGGAACTCCAACCTGAGGGAAAGAGGAGGAAGGTTATAGAGGGAAGTATCACTGAAGCTTACTTGAAAAACAAGTATTGCATGTAGTGTGGGTACAAGGGCTGAGAGGCGGTTGCAGCCAGGCATCCCTGTGGCTGGATGATGTTGCCCAGCACTCTTTCTGTGCCCTACCATCAACTGCTGTCTTTACCAAAAAGACCAGATGTTATTCTCTTCCATGAGGTATG